TGTTGTCAGTTAGAGGCCTCTCCGCATAGACTATCTGTTCATGGAGAGAACGTAAGGAAAAACAAGTTGCATGACAAAACAGACCAGAATCTTGCTTTTAATGTATTTGTATTTTAGGAAAAGGTTCCAGCTGCTCCTCTGGGCCCACCTCAAGCTTCAGAACAGAAGGCGTGCGATTCTCACCACAGGCACAGACAAGCCCTGCCAAAGCACCTCGGCCTCAGGCACAGAAAGACCTCAACGAGTGGTTGGACAGGTACCCAGAGTTGGTCTTACCGAAACCCAACAACCATTTCTCAAAAGCCAGCATCTCGGAGAAGGGCTGGTTTCTCTTAATTAGAGGCCAAAATCTTTAAAGGAAAGAACGCCTTGTGTCAGACCTGTTTACCACACGTTTCCAAAATCAAATCTCTATTACCCAAGTCACGGCTGCTTTCTGTAGTGATTTCTGCCCCCAGGTCAGCACCTCTTGGCCAAGGCCTCAACCGCGCAGGCAGCATCCATCAGGAGGGAGGCCGGACCAGACTGTCACTGATCAGTGATCTCTACCTTTACCACAACACGGTTCCCAGAATAACCAGTTTTACAGGGAACTCAGTGATTAGCTCAGAGATTTCTGCTTTACTTCAGTGATGTAACTCCATCCAGACACAAAGATTTAGCACCCAAACATACCAGTCCTGAATCTGCAATCAGTCTGTGGCAAGGAATTAATTTCTTTTGACTATAAAACACAGTCACGTAATTTCCTATTATCATAATATAACTTAACAAGAGGTCCACAAGATTAAATATAAAAACATATTGAGATAAAAAAAATGAGTAATCACCATGGAAACATTTCAATTAACATTAGACTCTGTAATACCTACAGATGTCCTAAATTACTCCCGTGCTCCCCTTGAAATTTCAACAGGCAGTAACTGCAGACGAATACCATCAGAGGAGTTACTGACTTCACCAAGCACAGGAACCAGGATGTTCTGCTTCCACAAAACTGTTGCCATTTAGTTAAAACACAACCCATAGAAGTAAAGACGTGCTTTAAGGGAACGAAAGTTCCTGCTTAAGACATGTCTCTGGCATCCCAGACACAGTGTCTGTTTGGCATTAAGGCTTCTGTGCCTTCATCAGAGCACAATGAGACCAGGCAGATCAGCTCAACAGCCTCCTACCCCTGGCAGACGTCCAAAGCAAGAAGTGCTGGAGAACTCAGCCTAACCCTGTTGGGCACACGATCCAATTTGACATTTGCCATGTAATTTAGCAAGACCGTCTCCCTGGTCTGGAAGAGGCTGGTTCAGGAACAACAGGTCTGCTGCAGGTTGGGACTGGCAGAGCCGCGTGGGAGACGCTTTCACAGTACTCGCCTGGACGGGCTGCGATGCTGCCTGATGCTATTGCAAGCAGCAGAAGCACGCTGAAGATCCAAAAAGACAATTAGTGTGCGTCTTCCTCGAAGTGTGGAAGACGCTGCACACTTTGGCTGCTTTACTTCATTACACAGAATCCTAACTCCTGCTCCCTGATCGCAGAGATCTATCATAAGAGGTGGCATCAAAGTAAGAAAGGCAGAGGAAGTGAAAGTAATAGCCACGTATGATATAGCAATCAGAACAACCAGAATTTGAAAAATACGCACAATTAGGAACAAAGATGATATTTCTATCTTCTCATTCACTACACACTTCACAACATCCATGGCATTGCACTCAACTGGCTTCTGGGTCCCTTTCAAAGCAAACATGGATCCATTTGCAAGCTATATTAAGGCATTCAGTCACTGCTCTGGTGGTTTGCAAGACGTTGCCAGCATTATTAAGGTTAGCTTGTGATGGGAGGAGTCCCAGCGCATCCTCTCACATTACCACGCACACCCTGCCCGACCTGATTCGGCAACGCTGCTGTCCGCAGAGAAAGCAAGCTTGTAATAAATCCCAGCTGCACGCGCAAATCTTAAATGACAGTTTCTCTGTGCAGACGGCCTGGAAGACACGAGCTAATCAGTTTAAGTGAGGTTTTACGTCTGTCATCTTGCTTCACAGGCTGGATTTATGAGCATTCAGCCTTCACACCTCAGACAATGAATTAAGTGCCCAGCACTCGCTCCACATCCATTAGCAGCACAGCTTAATGTGCTTTTGACCCATTCCACTTTGCTGTGGAATTAAACTGATTTAATTTTGCTGTACTGTAGATTACCTGCTTTGCAGAACATTTCAGAAAGCAAGCTTGTTAGCTGGCCAAGGCACCAGACACGAGCCCTTCTGGAGGTAACCTGGGTAGGGAAGCAGGCACCAACATCACGCACTGGCCGCATTCTGCACAGTGGTGTTGGGTAGGATGTCTTTATGGAGCAATCAACCCCACTCAAGTAATCAGCTGTCATTAAAACAAAGTCCGTACAGCAAAAACATTGCTCTTTTAAACAAGAAACCCACAAAGACTATAAATCCTACCCAATGTATCCATGGTCCCCCAGGTTTATGCAGGAGAGCTACATCCACCTCCCTCTCAGCCTCTGCTGTTGGGACACCCTGAGGGCACCGGCCATCCACTTCAGTTCCTCAGTTCCATAAATCAAACCCAGCACAGAACCCCTGTCCAGTTTTGAATTGTCTTTTGGCTCTGAGCCATCTATAGCTTGGAACGTGCGATTCCTGGAGAAACACTCTCTATAAATCCTGAGAAAGACCCAAGGTTGAGCGCTGTGATCCCAGCCGTCACAGCCTGCTCCATGCCATGCCTCGGGACGTGTCCCCCAGCCCAGCAGCCTCAGCTGGAACTGCACAGCAGCAGCAGCTGAGGTCAGGGAACACACAGCACGTAAAGGAAAGGAGATGAAGGAAATAACACCGCTGCCAGAAGAATGCCGACAGCCTTCCTCTCCTGCTCCAGAAAAGGCGCCTCCACGTCACGAGAAGGAAACCACAGCGAGCTGAATTATTTCCCTTCTGCTGTCCCTGCTGCAACTCCCCTTATCAGTACAGCCCACCAGTCGCCGTGCCCGCTATCTCCCGGCACCCTCTGATCCGCCACAACACCAGCCAAGTGCTTCAGCGCTCACCTCCGCCCCAGAATTAATTTTGCAGGAGATCACAGAACAGGACTCGGTTAACCCTCTGTGGTCTGCTCCACCCTGCACAGTCCTTACATCTCCCCTTTGTGCCGGGAAGCCAATGGGATACCCACAAAGCGACGCGTGCTGTGGGTAAGGATGAGCTGTAGCAAGACCCACACTGTTACCTGCTTGTGGGGGATGGTTTGGGCACACAAAATCTTTCTGCACAACAAGCTACTTCACCCGTAAGTTGTAGTCTCACAACTTTCTTCCTACTGAAGGTCCAAAGAACGCTAAACACCGGGCAGAAAGAGCAGATAAAGGAACAATAAACATACGCTTAGAAAATGCTAAGAAAGGAAAGATGATAACGCACACGCAGAAGTCAGTTGGGCAGAATGAGAGCAAAGGTGCTGCCAAAAAGCACGGGGTTGATCCGTGTTACGTGCAGTCTGTGTAGTGGGAAATCCGCAGCAATTTAATGACAGCAGAGCACAGGCTCTAAGCAAAAACCCCCAGCAAAAGTAAGCAGAGAAGCACGGGAAGGACGCGACCCCTCGTTATCCCAAAACAGAGGCAGAGCCGGCAGCTCACCGTGATGCGAGAGAGCCCCAGAACCGGGAGCTGGGCGGTAGGGAGGCAGGAGCCGCTCTGCCCTCAGCCCTCGCTCTCCTTCCACCGACCGCACACCAACGCTGCTCCCCTCCACAACCCCCCCACGGCCCCGATTCTCTGCCCCTGCCTCGCAGCCAGCCCCGGGCTGCCCGGCACAAGCCGCCGCCTCGCAGCCGGGGGGGGCCCCGCGCCTCCCGCCCACTCCCGGAGCCCCGGGGACCCCCCCCCCCACACCGGGACACAGCCGCGGCCGGGCCAGGCTGGGCCCGGAGCCACCCCCCCCCAGGGGCCTCCCTCACGGCCGGGCCCTGACCTGGCTCTCCGCCGCCGGGATACCGGACTCGAGCTCGCAGAGAGCGCGGAAGTTCTGCAGCTCGAAGTCGGCGTCCACCTGCAGCGAGAAGGTCAGCTCGCTGCGGTCGCGGCGCAGGCAGAACACGGTGAGCAGCATGGCCGCCCCCGGCCGCCCCCCGCCGCCGCCGCCGCCAAGCGCCGCCGCCCGCCGCCAAGCGCCGCCGTCGCAAAGCGCCGCCCGCCCCGCCCCAGCGGCGGGGGGCGTGGCCTCGGGGGAGGGGGGCGTGGCCTCTGCGAGGGGGGCGTGGCCGCCCGGTGCTGAGGGGGAGGCCACCCCAGTCATGCTGGGGGGAGCACCCCATTCATTCTGGGGGGAAACGAGGGCAGGAGGCAGCTACAGCACAGCCCAGAGCGAGGGGGGCAAACGCACCGGGCTGGTTCCCCCGTCCCCAGCACACCCAGGGCTGCCCCAAGGCCTCCCAGGGAGCCCTGTGGGAGCAGGGGGCTGTTGAGAGCCCCAGGGTGCCCCCAGCACCGCAGGTCTTCCAGCTGCCGCCTCCCCTGAGAGCCTTCGCGCTGCTCCAACCCACCCGCGCCTCCCACCAGGCTGCAGGAGGGCTGTGGGGAAAGGCTGCAGGGCTGGTGGTGCCATGCTGGGTTATTTTTTTTTCCCCAAGCGGTGAGAAACATGAACATTGACTTGCTTGTGAGGGTCCCAGGAAGGCAAAGCAGCTGGAGAGGGATGCAGCAGGATGGGGCAGTGCCCTCAGGCAGCAGTGAAACCCCCGCCTGCCCTGCAGGTACAGCGCTGCGGGGCTGGACTGAGACAGGGAAGGATGACACGGAGCCCCAGGAACAAAGCGACGCAGCCCGTGCCGTACGTCACCCCCGCTGTACCCGCTGCTTTCTGCACCAGGAGCAGGGGAGGATTCGGCAGCACAGGCAGCGCTCCCCTCCAACCTCCTCCCACGTGCTGACCGTGGGCTTTACTCATCAGAGTTCTGCTCAGTAATTCACTCACTTCAGTACGCGGTGAGAGGAACAAGACTTTATTTTGAAAATGGAGTTAATCTCAACTCAAAATCATTCCAGCCACAGGGTGGGGCAAACAGAACAGCAGCACTGAGAAACAATCAAGGAGCAACAAGACCTGAGACGTCACATTTCCGTGTTTGCAAACATTTCAACAAATCCCGTTTTACTTCATTTTCTCTCTTGTTCATCAACCCATATGTAATAATAGTAATAAAAAAAAAAAAGCCCCAAACCAGTCTGGCACCTACCAGTCCTCACACAGTTACTGTAAGGGCCCCGAGTGCTGCCCCTCTCCACACGGTGCCAGGGAAAAGGCTCCTCCTCCCATAGGGAGAGCTCAGTCGGATTTCTCCTTTTCCTTCATGTGCAAGAAGACAATGCTGAACATGAAGAGGCCCACCATCATGGAGAAGGCTCCAGCGTAGTACGGGTACGCCGAGGGGATGAAACGTTCGTACTGCGTGTGCTGGAGGGGACGCACGGACACCTAGGAGAAAAGGTGGCATTCCTTTTGAGTTTGGCAGGACCCAGTAATGGATCAAGATAATCCCCTGCACGCACCTCTGACTCCCTGTGCTCCTCAGCACCTGTTAGGTTACTGAAAGGGCAATCGGACTATTTGTTTCTAGGGCTGAACCGCAGCTTTTAGCCGATACCAAAAACATTCTCATGTGTCCCACATATTTTTAAAGCTCCAAATGCTCTACTCTGGAGGAAATACCTGCTCAGTTCAAGCCTACAAAATGCTAAGGCTCTCTGCACGGGCATTTGCAGCAACTATACACTTGTCCAAAGAAGGGGTAACCACAATTAGTTTCATGCACAGCTCATTTCCAAACCCCAAAATGCAAATAAAAAAGTCAGAAGTGCTGTAACTCCACGTACATTCAAGTACCTTGCATCTCAGTAACAACTTAACAGATATCCCTTTCCTCTTGCATGATTCATTCCCACCGTACTGACCTGGGTAGAGGAGTAGAGGTGGGTATAACCCAGGCGGTTATAATCCACTTTGAACTGGAACACTCCGTAGACATCCGGCAGCTTGAACTGCACGCTGTACTTGCCACCTAAGAAAGAGTCGCAACATTGAACTGACACGAGCAATTGGAAGACAGAAGCTGTGGAAGCCTTCACAGGTCTTCCTGCTACGGTGCTGCCATGCCGAGGAGAAAACATCTCGACGTGGGTCTGGAGAGGTGAGGGGAACCTACCGTTTCTCTTCAAGAAAGTCCGCACGAACGGATCGATGCGGACGAACTCCAGCTGGATATCATCTCCGTCAAAGGGAACCCACTTTCCATCAGAAAGCTTTTCAATTACGATGCTGTACTCCTGGAACAAACCCGTACATGAACAGGAGTCAGGAGCGATGCCTGGAAACACACCTGGACCCCAGCAGAAGACTCCAGAAGGGATACAGCCTGAAGTGACCAGGGAGTTCTCCCAGATTTCTTTTTCCAAAGCTGGTTAGGTAAGTTATCCCTCTGGGAAACACAGTCTAGGGATCAGTAATCGAAGCAGCTCTCACTAGCCAGAGAGTAAGTAAATATCTATGTTACAGCAGTAGGAAAAGGGATCCAACTACACTTTTCAGCTCCTGGTTTCTTCCTGCCCACACGACAGGAGCCTGTTCCAAGCAGGCCGCCCTGTGCGCAGCCTTACCACGAGATCGGTGACGGTGTAGGCATTAGGAGGTGCAAGTTCTCCCACACGGTGGTGAGACACAGCTCCAACGCGCAGCACGCCCTCTTCCTTGAACACCCAGCGCGACAAGGCAACAGCCAGCTCGTAATTACCAGTCTGCGAGTACCTAGAGATGAAGGAATGCAAAGAAAGTATGGCAGCCACTCTAAAAAACACAACACATGCCAAAAAACAAGCCATGAACAGATCTGAAAGCAAGAAAAAGCTATCCTGGGTTAACAGAGAATTATTTTACAAAGCACTTCATCCCTCAAGGCCAAAGCATTGGATCACACCCTATTTGCATTAAAACTTTTTGCTGTTTCCCGCAGCAGGAAACTTTGTTGCCTGTTGCCTCCAACTCCCCAAATATTCCTTGGGAAGGAATGCCCAGAAGCTAGTGCACCTCTTGGAGCCAGGAGTAGCTTTCTGCACAGCAGAATTGAAGAAGGCATCGCTGAAGAAATCCAAAGAGCCACTGAAAACAACACGAGCGTTGTTCCTTGCTTGGAGTCCTGCGATCAGAAGGGTGTTCTTCCCAACCGCATGTGGATACTGGAAAGGAGCATTTAAAAGACGTTTAGCCAGTTTATGGACGAGTAAAGAAGAGCTTGTCAATCTCCAAGTTATCTGATTTCACTATTGCTACAGGTTTGCTTCGAGGTGGAACAGTCTGACCACAGGGAGCATGCTTCACAGCTAAACAGAAGATAAGAAACTGCTCAGAATAACAAGGAATGGGATCCATAGCATTTTATTCCTACCCTCTCTGCCTGGGATGAAGCCCTTTAAAGAGGATATGCTTTGATCTAGGCTGATACTTATTCTAAAGTATCATTCATGCTGGATATTTTGTCACCAACAAAAAGCACAGAGGAAGAAAAATTCCCAGGGAGATATCAGGAAGCAGGTGACTTTCAAAGTCACCACAAGTGCTTTCTTCCAAGTTGCTGAAATGTGAGGGATTTCAACAAAGTAGTACAGCCCAGAAGAAGAGAAAGTCAGCGAACATACCTGAGTAATGGGCTTATCTGGGAAAAAGGAGTAAGAGGTAGAAGAGCCGGTCAGGATATCCAGCACCAGCGGGTTGTCAGGATCAGCCACCATCCTTGCAGGAAGAGGGAAAATGAGCAGCATGAACAGCCACGGGAATGTGCAGGCACCAACTAGGCTGCACAAACCTTCTCACCCTTGGATGTGGTGAGACAGCTGCAGAACTTGCACCCTTACAGAAACGAGTTACTTTCTCAAGGTATTCAGTCAAGCTTCATTAACTTCTATTAAGAAACATCACCAAGTCAAGATCTAAGCTGCCTGGGAGATTTTCTTTTCATTGTGATTCGAAATCAACACAGATTTCTCACGTTAGGAGTTCACCCTGCCCTTCGCTCACACTAACACCAAGATTTTTGTGCTGCTTCCCCAGCAAGTCACCTTGCCCCAACACCCTCCCTGTCCACACCCCGTGGCAGGTCACTTACCCAACTCCTCGGAAGAGGATGGGGTTCAGCGTCGTTTTCCCCACGATGGTGGGAGCCTTCAGTAGATTCTCAGCATCTGCGACTATGAGCGTGTGCTTGGAGGAAACAAGAGATCTGCATAAATGCACTGCACGGGCAAATGCATTTTTATGCACCTTCAGTAACTTTCAGGTTTTAGAAAAGCAAGCAACAGCTTCTTTTTTTGCTTGAAAGTTAACTTTGTTTTTACAGGCAATCAAAACTGAACGGTTTTTGGATTACAGCTGAATTAAAAGGCAGCATGCACACAGCTCTGTGCTATTATGTCAGCGCTCTGACTGCAGCATGACCGGACACTGTTAAACAGCACCACTTATGACTTTCTTAGGAACAAGCTGGGACAGGAGAGAATGGGTGGAAGAAAAAAAGGAAAGCAAGAACAGAATATTCATCTCTCAACTTTTCCACATCTGTTCTCATTAACAAAGCCCAGAACAAGCAAATACACATTTACCTGGCCTGGGTCTGATATATCGTAGTTGTGATGGTCGATAACAGCTGTCCTTTCCTCATCAAATTCTATCCCGCATTCACTGCCCAGCTCTCGCAGTGGATCACCTAAAAGGAGAAAATGGATTCTCTGTTATGCACCATACTCTGAAGGTCACAGTGACAGTCTCAACGCTCAAAATAACAAGTAAATTCAGCTCAAAGTGACACGTTTGGCACTCTACTGGCCAAACCCTGAGCATCACAACCTTTTTCTGCTAAATTCCCATTTAGAATAGGAACAAAGAACATATTTTTTTTATCCCAAGAACTATCACCATTTCTTCAGAGTACAGACCCTGCTGTTCACCACAAGAAGCTACATGCGTGAAGTACTGTTTAGTTAAATCCCCCTTCCACAAAGAGTGTAGAAAGTCGTTTCCTTCCCAAGCATGTGTTTCTGCGGTGCATCTGCCAAATGCAGAGCTGAAGGACGCTGCCCTACAAGCCTATCAGGTAACACATTTTGTTTCTCATCCTGTTTATTTTTCTGCAGGAGCTCTGGGTAAGGATGAACGAACTGTTTGATGGTTGCAAAGCCCGCGCAGGGCAGGAACTCGGTACAAGCAGCAGCCAAAACCCGCTGGCTTGCTGCTGACCCCCTCGGCTTGCTGCTCACCCCCTGACCAGGGCTGGCACTTACCGATGTCCGAGCTGGCAGCCACCAGGACGCTGCCTCCGCCGTCGATGAAGGCGGTGATGGTCTCCACGTTGATGTTCCCCCCGAAATCTGCAGGGGCACACACACCGCAGCTCCGTCACTCCCCGCCTGGCGCCTCAGCCGGCCCCGGGCGCCCCCCGAGCGCTGCCCCCGCGCTCACCTTCGATGGACGGCGCGAAGACGATGAGGTTGTCGTAGAGGAACTCCCCGTACTTGATGAGGGACAGCCCGGCGTCGTCCGCGGTGCGGAAGGTGAGCTCGAAGCCCCTGTCTGCGGCCGCCACACGCAGCGCTCAGCCCCGGCCCGGCCGCCTGAGGGCCCTCAGCGCCGCCACCGCCTTCCCGGCCCCTCCCCGCCGCCCCCCAGCCCCTTCGCCGCCCCTACCCGCCAGACTGCGGAAGAAGAGCGAGTGCGTGTCCCGCAGGCTGCCGTTCTCCAGCAGCACCAGGGTGCGGGGCCCGGCCCCGGCCGCCGCCGCCGCCGCCAGCAGCCACCACAGGCGCGCCGCGGCCGCCGCCATCTTCTCACCGGCGCCAGGCTCCTCAGGAAAAGGCGGGCCGAGGGCAGGCGGCCAATCGGCTCCGAGCCCGCCTCCGCCGCTGTCCAATCAGCGGCAGACAGCTCCGCGCCGCCGGCCAATCAAGGCGGGGCTCCGGCCCGGCCCGAAGCAGGGACGCGGGGTAAGCTGGGGGGGGGGCGGTGAGGGGCTGGGGACGCGGGTTCGAGACCCGGCCCCGCCGCTGCGCCCCCCCCCCGCCACACACACCCCGGGGGCAGGGATCTGAGCAGGAGAGGGGCCAAGAGGCAGGAGGAGAGCAGCAGGGAGACAGGCACAGGGCTGCCCGCACCGCACACACACACTCAGCAGCCCCAAGCCAACGCTGTCCGTGTTGGGGTGGAATTACAGCGCCAGGCCCCGCGCAGCTCCCCCAGCCCCGCAGTCCCCCCACATCCCAACCCCGCAGTCAGGAGGTGTCGCTGGCCATGCCGCCTTTGCCCCTTTTCCGCGTGGTTTTGGAGGCCGGTGGTGTGACGTCGAGGGATTCGAGGCGGAACGGACGGGGCTGGGGCAGCAGCGTGGCAGAGGTGCTGGTCACAGCGGCGTTCAGCCCCGAGGGAGCGGTGGGCTGAGCTGGAGAGGAGAGAAACATGGGCAAAAAAGGGCAGTAACACAATTCAAGGCTGGTTAAGGAAAAGTGAGACCTGGTGGGTGATAGTAGTGGTTGGGGGACAGTTGGACCACAGGAGCTTGGAGGTCTTTTCCAACCGCAACAATTCTCTGAACCTATTTATTCCCAGCAATGTTCTCCACGTCCTCATCAATGTGCCCCAGGCAGATTTCCCAAGGGCAGAGGGAGCCAAGCAAGTGCTCTCTGCTCTCGGAAGCTGCCATCACACACACGATCCTGGAGTGGACTTAGTTCTGCCACAGAGATCATCTGGGACCAGTATGGGGCCAACACATCCCTCCCCCAGCCCCGTTCTTCTCCACGTGCTACTTTTTGTCCTGTGTAGCCCCTGTCCAGGGGTAAAACGCTTTACATCTCCTGCTGGCTGACAACACCTATTTTGTGAGTAGGTGCAGCAACACTCTGGGGTTCTACAGCTATTTTTAAATTATCAATGAAATTAACATTTTTAATTAAAAACAGGAACAGACCTCATCCTGCAAGAAATTTCCTGTTAAGTTCAAGGGATCTGTATGTATCACCAACCAAGTTTTTGAATGTTCCTATTTAATTATCCCTACACCAATTTTCACCATGTCCATCACACTTGTGACTTAAGATTACGTCCATAGCAATCTGTAGGAGAATGCTGCAGGCTTGGGATAGTGCTCCCAAGAGAATTAGCACCCCATGAGGTTTATTCCTGAAAAAACAATATGAATGCCCACAATATATCAGACAAAAGACCACAAAGATGTGTTTACCTCGGTTCTTCATTGGATCAGTGTTAAGAATCTGGCTGGCTCGCTTGGATCGGAAGTAATTGCTGGCAATGCTCTCACTCTCGCTCCTGTTCAGCATCAGCTTGTAGCGGTCTTCCTCTTGCTGCAATCAGAAAGCACCGTCAGCAGCGCTGTACTCTGTACCAGCCCTTAGACACACAGGTATCCTGGGTTAAGGCTTAGAAATACCACAAACTACAGTAAATTGGATAAAAAAGCAAGCTCCTGGGCAGAGTGACACAGTGAAACGCACGTACCAGCTACACGGTCAAGCCTGGTTTGGGCAAAGCTGTGAGTGATGCAAAGTTAAAGCAATAAAAGCAATTCTGCTACCAGACCAGGAGGTGAATTGCCCAAAATGAACAATTTCTTGTCTGAGAACAAGGTCAGCTCTTGCCTGACACGCATCTTCAAGGGTCCTTTGCTAAACCTGCTGGCTGACACCAGCTGTGAGCACGTGCCTGGGCAGTCACCTAACTCTGCCCACAGCACACAAACCATGGCCATGTCTCATGGTGATGTCTGAGCAGGACTTTTGAGGGCCTCAGGAGGAGAAATACAGCTTACCATTGGTTCTCCACTCTCAGCTGAAGGGCTCTTTCTGGCAGATTTAGACTGTGGCAGTGCTGGAACTGCTATGAGAAAAGCACAGCATTAAAGGGCTGTCATCTCTAAAACAATTACGCACTCCCTGATCCCCACCACTGCTCAAATCACTGATAATTAGGATAACAGATGCCTGGAGGAGCCGTACAGTGATTCATCTCCAGTGAGTGGTTTAGGATATGGATCAGCTAAAGCAGTTGCACATGGTTCAACAGCTCTTGTCTTGCAGGAATGGCAACGCATCTCCAAGGCTGAGGCAACTCATACCTTGGAATTACACAAGGACGCTGAATTCTAATTCTCAATCAACTAAATGCTGCTGTGAAGCTTCAGGAAAGTCATCTCACTTTAGCTTCTAAAGGTTTGAAACAGGTCCTATAGTATCACCCTTGTAGGACGTATTCATTAATGTGAAGTGTACAGATCCTAGGAGGAACAGCTTTAAAAAGGGCATCTTACTTGTTTAAACACTAGTTGTGATTTCACTCTGCCCAGAAGGCATGCAGAGGACTGCGCTATCGAACACAGGCAGCTTAGTGGGGAGCCCTGTGCCTGCTTCCCAACCCATATCACCTACTCAGCACAAATATTTGTGCAGACCTAGAAACAGGCAGCTTTGTCCTCACTAAATTATTCCTAGAAAGCCTCAGCTATACGTGGAACGTTTTACATGTGAGTGCAGTCCAAACACCATGTATCAACGTGCTGGTGAGCTCTGAAGAAGCTACGTGTGGTGGTACGATCCAGATGCTCCTCTTACCTGCGGGCAGGTGGGTTTTTTGAATGACAGGCTCTGGAATTTTCCAGCAGCCAGCCTCCTCATCCCAGACAGACTCATGCTTAATCTTCTCCAGATTGCTGTAGTTGCAGTCACGCCGGATGAGGGACTGCACCTGATCCAGCAGCTGCTGGAAGAGCATGGAGTCTCGCTCCAGCCGGCGGATGGTGTTGAGGTAATCGATCTTCTCCAGCTCAAACTCTGACTGCAGATCTTTGATCTCGGTCTCAGCAGCCTGCAGCTGTGTCATAAAAGCAAAATGGCGAGTTGGGGTTATAAAAGAGAGAGGACCGTGGGTTACTGCGAGCAGAAACATTTGTTAGGCGCAGAGATGGAAATCAGTCAGATGGTTTACTCAGAAGGCAAATAAGAGGGAGGTGACAATGCTACACGAAAATGAACAGCTTGGCGAAAGTGGATCAACAACTTCTACTTTCACTGTCCCTTTACACAAGAACGAGGAAGTGCTTACAGAAAAGCAACGGTGGAAAACAAAAATGCTACAAGGATTCTGTGATCTGGATTTATGCTCAACTGAAGCCAGCAATTTAACAAAATTCAAAAGATAAAACAGTTAATAAGCACTTACTGTTACCTCCCACTCTTAAAAACAAAAGCTTCATCAGTGTTTGGAAAGCTTTTTAATTTATAATTAAGAATTAGGATGAGATTTATCTGGAGAGATCATTCCACATCTGTTTTAATGGAAGACTTGTCATATCAAACTATAAATTACTGAGTCTTCAAATAGTCTTAAAATTAAACCCCCAGGTATATTCCGTGTCCTGTGCTAATAAAGTTGTGGGTGTTTCTAGCTTGGATGAAAAGGGTGGCATATTACTTTGATAACCTAAATACATCAAATCCTTCACGTGCAGATTTCTGGCTGCATATACACACATTTTTTGAAGCTCCTCCAAGTCTGCTTTATACCATCAGAGCAAAACTTATTTTCAAGCATGCCTAGTATTTAAGGGCATTGCTTTTATATATATAAATATTATAATATTTGCATGTTTGTTTGTTTGTTGTTTTCCTAGAGAACTTCTCACACTGTAATTTCTTGTGTGATGAGAACTGGGGCTGCTGAGGATGTAGCAAGCTGTGCAATAGGCTGCATAGGTCAGCAGAGGGAGTTGCATCCTCTCCCATGAACAGACATGTTCCTCTGGGCAGCGTGTTACACAATAAAGAGACCGGATTTTAAAGCCCTCGGGTAGGGATTTGAGAAGGCTGGAGTTGTGGAACAGCTCAGTGAGGGCAGTTCCATCCAACATTTCATAAAAATGCATGCAAGCACTGTGAGTACTAATGCAGACAGATGAAATATTACACAGCTGGACTCATTCTGTAAACATTAGCATAAAAAAAAAAAAAAAAAAGGTAAGCAGAGGAGGAAAGATGGATGCGGATGCATTGAACTAAGAAGTAAAAAAGCCATCCTGAGATTAACTCCACTGGATGCTCCCTAAATCTTAAGCAGGGATAAGAAGGAGCAGCTTTTGCAGGCTCACCTTTTTCTGCATCTTCTCCAGAAGTTTGCTCTTGACTCGAACCTCCTCCTGGATGGAGTCGTAGACATTAAGCAGAACCCAGTCGCTGCTGTCCTCATCAGATTTCTGTAGCGCAGTCACTAGCTGCATTCTCCGCTCATCTGCATACTTTTTCCGGCGTTTATGCTTTTCTTTGAGGTCCTTGTTTTTAGCCTGCTCCCCCCCTACCACCTGTTGCTCTAGCATCTGCAGCCTGGGAAAGACAAATGCTTCTCTTAGCTGAGCAGTACTGAGAAACATTTGTGTAGCTGTGAAGGATGCTCTTCCTTACCTGAATGACACTTGAGACCATGCAATACAGAAATAGTGACTTCTGCAGAGATTTGCTGCCCTGAGTAATCATGGCAAATTCCACTTTTAATAACAGTTTCCGTCATGTATACTCATATGGAGTTTCTAGTGACAGAAACACAGGTTATTCTGATCACCTCTGTCATCATGTGAGACTGAAAATCTGTATCTATACTCAAAGAAAAAAAAGTTTCATGGAATTTATCATTCAGTTATTATTTCTTGTTTTGAAAGTCTCTCAAAGCATACGCAGAGGGTGCCAAAATGATGAAAACGTATTTTAAATGGTGAAAAGTGAAGTGGCATGGCTACAAGCCATACCACAATTTTTCTTGGGACAACATCAGCCAGAGTTAATGGCATGGGTTACCTCAGCATCACTGCCTGGGTGCAAACACAAGATGATTGGCTTCAAATAAGGGCCCACATCCACACTGCATGGCGCCATACACTCTAGCACGGGTATAAAAAAAGCCCTAGAGAGTCAGGGCTCCCCTGTGTTCTTACAGCACCATCCAAGTAGACCCTCGTACCTCACACCAGGAGCGCAAGGGGATTTGTAAGTAGTCTGAGGTACAGTGAAACACTGCACAGCATCATCTGAACAGTGCTGTTCTCTTTAAAAGCAGTCTGGGAGCACGCCGCCACTCTTTATTGTGCTTTGTTCCACCTTTTAAGGGCAACAGTGATTTAGTCCCACTGATCTGCCCAGAAGGCAGATATGTACCTGACAAAGTGCTGAAACCAAGAGTCCCTCACCGCAGCCAGGCATTAGAAGAATTCAGATCCCAGGCAGGTTGCCCCTCAAACCACTGCATTGATGCTGCGAACAACACTAGGCACCATTTTCCCTGATGTGGCTCATACCTGTTCAGACAGGGCACACTGTGCTCCAGAACTGGTCTCTTTGTCTGCACTGGGATCTGCAGCAGAGCAAATAGCTCAGGTTTGCCAGCACTGGCTCAAATCAGAGAAAATCCCACTACTGATAAAAGCTCCACTGATAATAGCCTCTTAATTATCTTCAAACCCATCCAAAAGGGCTCATTCTCTGCCAGAGATGACCTGCTACTCTACTCCACTGCACTTGCCAAGTAGCCTTCAGTTTCATTTGCTTAATGCAGGACTGAATCCTGCTCTGCTGGGTATCAGAGAGCTCACAGCCATCCTGATGTGTAAAGCTTTTAAAAGGCGCCTTTGAAAGTCCCATACCTGTGGAATCAAACCCTCCTGCCTAACCTGCAGAGAACTTTTGATTTTAACAATGTAATTGGGAGAGTATTTTTATCTTGTTTATCACAAAAAGGAAAACTGCAAAAGGATTTGATATATAGTCAAAACAATTGGTTTCTTTCGAGCTAGCTCCATTAGAAAGAGACAGAATTGCCCACAAATTACAAACAATGTTATTTTAGATTTCTTAATAGCTCCTTCTTCAGCTGGGAGAGGCCCAGAGGAGCAAGCATGTGTCACAGGAGCTCACAGTGAAACGAAAAGACTTAGTTAAAAAACAGAATTTTTCAGAATCAAACTTTACCATGCACATTATATTTTATGCAACAGAGCAAAACATAGAAATCAGCAGGATTTCTGAAACAGCCCTAAACCCTCATTTTGTCTCAGTATGCTGGGTTGTCCTCTGACTAAATGAATCCTCTCAAGGCAGCTTTCACCTGGAGGAAAACCTTCAAGACAGGATGCACCTGAGATTGGCCAAGCACAAGACCTGACGCTGAACTCCTCACATCTCAATCATCAGGTCCAGGCCCTGAGTCTAACACTGCCCCTAAAATTTGGTTCTTGGATAATTTTGATGCCAATTCTGGCTCAAGTCTTGCAAACATTGTCAGATGCATGAGGCAAAAGTGATCTCAGTGACAATGAAGAGTCACAGAGGATGTAATCACATCCATCCAGATGCACAGCGAATGGCAGGAAGACCTGCTACCATACATATACTAATATTACAGCATTTAGAAAATGCTCTTCCAGAACATTTTTCCAAGAGGAAAAGGAGGCAACCTTTAAGTTCTTTGGGCATTTAAGCTCTGTCAGTAACAGCCAGGCTCAACTTTATAAACTATACCTGCAAAAATCCAAAGAAGGAACGACTTCCCTGTCTAAAGATCTAGGCAGGATTTGTTATCCAGAAAGCACACTCACTTTCTTCCACTGACACTGACTTCTCTAGATTTTTCTCAAAATTCTGGCATTTGGCATCAGAGTAGCATAGCTAACAGCTATTTACCTGTCCAAATAGGACAAAAGATAATTTTGGAATAAAGACTATACATCTGCCTAGATTTGTGCTGTGTGGATCACACTGCTAAAGCTCAACAGTTGTACTACCATGCAAGAACAGGATTGCTTCTTGCCTGTATGAGCTAATGTGCGATGCACAGGAGGCAGTTAGCAGCAGCAGCACAGTCACTGACCTGGCAAGCACCTGCTGCTGGTCTACAGGCACTGAAATCCCCTCCGTGGTGACAGCCACCTCTGCTCCAGCACTCCCCCTGCTCACACCACCAGTGTCTTGGACAGTCTGAGGCGCTGCTGCATCCTGAGGACAAGAGGAAATGAAAGGCTGCAGCTCTGAAAACATGCAGCATGAATACTGGGAGAGACGAGGCGTGACGCTACCCACTTGGGCATATTCAGCCCAGGAGGGAGAAACGGTCTGAAGGGTACCTTGACTGATACTGGTTCTTCATCCACTGCAGCAACAGAGTCTTCAGGCAAAGGTGTCTCATCAGGAGCAGTTTCAGTCCTCATAGCACCTGAAGAATAAAAGAACAAATACCCACAATTTAAGTAAGTGATGAGCTCTGCATAGAGTATAAACATCACATAAAATCTTCCCCAAAAGTCAAAAGCCGTCTGTCTGGGAGGAAAAGTCTGTTACTTACCTTCTTATGCCGTTGGTCAGAAAAAGCCAGAGACCCAGAGGGTCAGCTGAAGAATACAGATTTACAGGGCTGGGAGAGCCTGGATCCTCATGTTCACATAAAAATCTATTTCAGAGGCCTGGAAGGCGCACACTTGTAATCAGAGGGGAAAAAATTAACCTCTCACCTTAGAAAGTGATAGCATCAAAAATTAATATAGGTTCTAGAATTAATATTGGGTAACAGGTGCTGCGTAAGCATGTTACAAAACATGCTCTGAGGCACTGCAGAAGTATAAATGAAAAGCAATAATGAAGAGGATAGCTGGCAACAACTTAAAGGTGTGTGACAGGAATACCTGCCCTCCAGCAAAGTGATGGTGTTGATAATCCACCAGGAGACCAGGAGCTGCGTCAAATTTGTATGCGATGGAAGATACTGCTGCAGCCACCCTCATCTTGGGCATGTGAGTTGTGGGAAGCCAATTGGATCAAAACAGAGTGCTGCCTGCTGAGACCAGTCATCTCTGCAGTGCAAACCTCTGTTCTAACGGAACGCTGCTCTAAGGCAGAGAAAACTCACAGCTACGTGGGCAAAATTGCATTCTGTTGCCTCAAGGCTTACAGGGTAGGGCCAGGCTGGTCCTGACATGGAAAAGAGGTCAGGGGAGGAGGGAAGAGGACAAACTGGGACAGAGAGTCTTATGAATGGCCCTGGAGGCAGAGTTACTGCTCCTGCTGTTGGTAAGGGAGGGGTAGAGCAGAGGCTGCTGCTGCTGCCAGGCAGCACTTGCTGCAGTAGCAGTCACTGCCACTTCAGAGCGGCAGACTTTGCAAGAAACTGTCTGTTTCAGCTCTTTCCCAAAGCACAGTGTATGAACAGCATCAGGGAATTTTCAGCCTGTGCTGTGCACCCTCCACCTTCCTCATCCACACCTGCTTCCTTCCTGAGGTTCTCCTCCAGAGCAGACAGCTTGAGATCATAGCAATTCCTCAGGTTACTGATGTCCTCTTCGAGGCGGGCACGAGACTCCTGCTCTGCCTCATAGCTGGCCTTTAGCTGGGCCAGCTTCTCCTCGTACTCCTGAAAGGCACAGCAGAGCCTGATGCAACAGTGCTGCTCCTGACTGTACAGGAGGTCATATCTTACATTCACCCCAATAAAACTTTATTTTTCTTCACATTTTTCCGTAACTTACATCAACACAGTACTGATGAAAGGTGACTAATTAGCCCTAGAAACTGCTCTCTTAGGCAGATGTGATACCCTGGAGGAGTTTTGTAACAAGTAAGAAGAAAGTTTATTTAACTCCTTGTTCTTCCTCATGGCTCTGTCTCCCTTCTTTATCTTCATCCTTCTACTGTTCCCAATGTCTTTGTGTACTACTTTTCTTCCTCCTCTTAGAGAACAAATCTAAGTGTCACACGTAATTTCCCCTTTTTGTTATGTGTACTTCAAAACATCTTGGGAACCTCCACCTCTCTGGAGACAAACTGGAGTGAGTAATACTGAAATAAATGCTATTGTAAATAAGGCCTCCAACAACATATGTTCTGGCCATAGGAAAAGGCCCAAGACCAAAAAATATGATGAGAAGTATACTGGAAAGGCTGAACCACGCACCCCTACATTATATTATAAAAATATTACAAAACCCCACAAGCTTCAAAGACACTAGGCCATAGCCCCTTCTGACTTACTTCTCTGATCAGCTGCTTCTCTGCTTCAACATCTAGCTGGGGTTTGAGGGGGTGAGCTGGCTTCACTTCCAAGTGAGCAGTCTCGGCAGGTAGAAGGCCTGTGAAGCAAAGCAGAAATAAACATCACACACAATTATTGGGTGGGATTGTCTTCAGAATGCTTGGAAACAGAACAAAGAACCTGGCTACGAGCAAAGAATATCTCAATCCGCGTGCTCCTTTAAACTGCACTCATGTGCCAGCATCTGTGCTGATAAAACGCCTACTGGCATGGGACTCCAAAGATGTGGGGAGAGGAGAGAGCACTGAGCAGAGGGGGAAAGGTTTAAGCTTTGGGTATACGAAAGCAAATATAAATTTAATCTCTGTCACAGAGTAACAGAAGACCTGTTTCCAGGGCTATGCTAACAGATTTGGAAGATAAAATAAGCTGGGAAAGAGATAAGAAGGCAAGGAAATTGCCTCCTTTCTTCACAGCTGTTTTTGAAAAGTGGTAGAAAAGGGAAGAAAAAAATATTACTGCCTTATTCTTCTGATAAAAATTATCCTTTTTAGGGTACAATTCTCAGAAGGTGATCAGGTCCCTAAACACTGCTCTTACCCATTTATTCCCGTGTTTGCTATTCCTACTTCAGAGCAAAGAGTGGGTCTGCTGAGGCTGGGCTGAATCGTCAAAGAGAGGACAAGGCATTCTGTAAGCAACATTGCTAGAAAAGCAAAACTTTCCTTGTAGCATCAAAAAATCCATGGTTTAGAAGAACAGGGGCTGAATGCTATAAAGAATTTTACGCTACTGTTTCTTTATCATCTTTGTTCTGCCAGCTGAAACCACTCTGAGACTGACCAAATTCTAGCCAGAATGACCAAGAAGAATCGAGGATTGGAATCACATCAGCTTTTTTTTTATTTATTTATTTATTTATTTTTTAACAAAATTTGTTGTTCTTGAAAGCTAGAGAAAATGCTAGTGAATTCAGATGCTCTTTACCAGTAGAATAAGGTCAGTTTGGCAACAGTAAAGAAAAAGCACATTACTAGAATGGAAACCTCTTCCTGCAACAGGTGAGGGGAAGGTTGAGGCAAAATTTGGTGAGCATTGTATGTGGAAAAGCACATTTTTTTTTGGTCAAAGATAAACCTTTGGAGCCACCAGGGCTCTCCTACCTGGCAAGTTATTCGCGTTCATCTGTTCAGCTAGAATGGCCTTCAGTTTCTTAATCTCCTCCTGATATTCCCTCAGCAGAGCATCTTTGGGGTCCTCATTGATAGAGGGCTTGTTCTTGATGTTTTTTGCTCGATTAGCATAGCGCAGAGTGCTGAGGCTTTCGTCATAGTTGTTATCAGCTGGAGATAAGCATGCTATCATCAGGGTCTTGGTATTCCCTCCAAGGGAGTCTTGCAGCAGCCTGGTCAGCTTCGAGTCGCGGTAGGGGATGTGTTTGCACCTGCCGTCGACCAGGGCTGAGATGACATTGCCCAGAGCAGAGAGGGATAGGTTGATTTTGGTGGCCTCTTTGAGCCGCTCCCCTGTGGCTCCAGTTTTTGACTGTCTTTCACTTCCTGCCAGATCCACTAAATTGAGTTTTGCAGCCCTAAGGTGGTCTTGCCCTCTCTCATCTGCAAGAAAATAATTCTGGGTTAGGATCTTCTCTCAAGAAGCAGCATCCTGGCAGTCAAGAACAAGAACTTTGGCATTACATTTCAGATCGAGCCCTGTTCTTTGTCTGCATTTGGGCCCTAATTCCTTTAAGTAAATACCTGCTTAATCTTAGAACTACATGTTTTAGTGCTTTCCTGAACAAGACCCTGCATGGTAAAAATTCCTAACTGTTCTTACGATCCCAGTGAACTCTAAACACACACACACACACACACTCACTCTCTCTCCACATATTTCCACAGAAGCTGAGTGTTTAGAATTTCATGCAAAGCCCTCAGCAAGTAACAAGATCAGACCGTGACTTTATACAACTTCTTTTCTCCCCAGATCGCATCATGCAATTAAACAATGCCTGAGCACTGGAAAAAAAAAGAAGGGAGGAAGCATGAAATGAGAACAGGGGTCAATGGGCAGCAGCTGGAGTAAGGCTGGATGGAGGGCACAGGCAAAAGAGCAGGCTATCTGAACACCTACGTGAGGTGGAGAGGAGGAAGGCAGAAAGGTTCGCGCTGCAGACCACCATGGAAAGGCTGCAGTAACCACTATGGTGGGAAACAGTTTCTCCATGAATTCCCAAACAAGAGCATTTCAAGGCTGGAATCCACCCTACCCTAATCAATGGATATATTCAAGAAGTTTCTTGCTATGCTTCAGAAGAACAAGTACGTTCTTCCTAAGCATCCAAATACCACCGGGGACGGCCACCTGGCTTTCTGTCCCGAGACAGCCCAATCGCTCAGAAAGCCCGGCAGCTCTCCCCCTCGCCCATGGAGCAGCGCGGTGACTCAGCTCACAAGCATGCTCAGCGGCATCTGTTCCTCCTCAACAAATGACGTTCTCAGTGAGAAAGTAAAATGAAGGAACACAGGCAAGAAACAGAACTCCCAGACATCAGGCTTGAGCTCGGCCCTAACCACCTGGATGAGGAGCTGGACCTCGGACCTCAGTGAGCGAGGAGTCCGACACAGTGAACTGGTGCCATTCCCATCGTACCACGTAAGGATAATAGGAGACGTGAGCTGAACTTCACAGCCAGCTCCCCAGCTACCGAGAAGCACACCTCATGCATGTGGTGTCTGCTTCCTTGACCTGAATTTTGAGACACAATTAACGTGATGACACAAATCTGTGACTAAGAGAGAGTGGGTCCAGTTGCTTTAGGGACCCTTCAATTTCGCTGGCTACTTAATTTTCCCAGGTTCATGGAGAGTTTTTATGAGTGAAGATACACTTCTCCAAAACACAGATTGCTCTCCAAAGCACAGGACCACACTCTTGAATGTCCATGCCCCAGTCATTCCTCATAATTGCAACCCAAGTTCAAGGGAAGAGCATCTTTAATGCTCCAAGCACAAATTCCCACCAGAACCCAAGGTTTTAACAGTCTGACCTTTTCCAGACAGACTTCTACAAAACCTAACCTTGAATTTAGTTTGAGTTAAACTTCATGAATGCAGAGAACTCCTAAACGTGAATAATGAATAATCTGATGCATGGGGGAAAGTTAAACATTTTACAGTAAGCATGAAAAAGAAAATAAAATTGATTGCCCAAGGATATTTCACTAGTTACAGCAATAGGCTGTTAACTGCACAACCTACTATTTGCAGCAGAGCGTTGTTTCACTCCAGATCTTTGTGGCATGTCAAGACATAGGAAAACTAAAAAAAATAAAAAAATAAAAAAAAAAGAAACACAAAATGGATGGAGCTTAAACAGAGCACCCTCTCACCATTCTTTCTGAGCGCCAGGGTAAGTGGACAGTCATAAAAAACAGGTTTTCTAACTCTTTCCTTCCCTCTCCCAGTTTATATAAACACTGTCAGGCAATTAAAAAGTTGTTTTGGTTCCTGCCAGTCCTTTTACCCAAGAAGGCTGTTTGTTTCAATCAGGGAGCTTAGTGGTTTAGTATCCATGGGGTAACGAGGTCTCCAGACTATTGCTGAAATGCCTGCAGCAACCTGAAAGCCTCCCGTCTAATTCTCGCACAACCCGACAGCCACTTCTGTGGCAGAAGAACTAAAAAGCCTTCCTGTTAACAAATCAATCCCTCAGCACAATGTAAAGAAATAAAACATCTGCCACACCACTGTAAAATCAGATAGTAACTTGCATATTTCATGCTTCCACAGCCAGAGCCTGGTGTTTGCCTTAATCCTGTTTCTGAACTTTCACTTTTTAAGAGTTCACATAACTGTGAGGAGATCCGTTAAAATATTAACTGCCTGAAAACTACAACATGCTACATGCGTGACTGGAAAATAAGTTTGAACTTGCCCGTGCATCTCTTTGAGATGACAATATACCAATGCAGTTAACTATTTCAGCTAGGGATTACAGCAGTAGAACCATCCAGCTGTGGGAGGGTGCAAGAACTGTCAACTCTCTCCTCAAATATTCCAGCTGTCTTCCATTCAACTGCCAAAACTTTGTGCTTCGCCACCTCCAGATGATCAGTAACAAATCTTAAGGCAGAAACTGAGGAACTGGGGAAAAGGTAAAAATTGATTTGATTTAAATGCAGACAAGGCAGCACTGTCTCGCCTGTATTCACTTTTAACTACAAGCGAAAGCGAGCTGCAGAATTTCCAGTTTGATGTCTGATGGCGAGGGTCTTGGGACACAATTTAGGTCCAGGGATTACACAGAGCTCTGCCAAGGAGGAGGTGAGACCACAGCCAGACAGCAAAACTGTCCCCCAGCAGGCAAAACCTCTGCACTGCTGTTCTGTTGTGCGTAGCAAGCTTCTAAAGCTTTACATCAGATAAATTGTTGCAGAGTAGATTAAGAGCCCTGCACCCAACACAAAGGAGTGTAAATATTTCATTTTCCTTGTTAGGATTCAAGTTGGGATTTGATGGACCCAAATAATGCAAGGATTAGCATCCACTGGCTGTGCTAATTGAGAAATCCCAAAAATCCCCCACACACCCATTTGGGTAGATGAAAATGAGGTACTGTCATCAACATCTGGAACTACAACTTAGGAAGGCATTGTGTAACCTTCCCCATGACTGAAACAGCTGAAGAAAATGCAGTCAAGCTGTTCACAGCCTCAGCTGGGGTCAAGGACCAGAAAGAAATAGGAGCTTAATTCCTTTCTTAGTCCCAAGAGAAAACCTTTCAAGGTCCTTGTCCAGACCCAGTGAGGCAGCTTTATCAGCTAAGGAAATGCCAATGGAAATGAGCTACTTGGGAAAGGAAAATTAGTCACCAAAACATTATTAAGGGACTCTTTTATTCTATCCTTAAACCCAGATTAGCTGTTTGCTTAAAAGATGTGCTCCACGATTAAGCTAAATGAAGGAATCACTGGGTGAAGTGATCTGACTTGCACTCTAAAGAAGGTCAGACAAAAGAGATAATGATACGAGTTTCTCCAGGCTTCACAAAGCCTGTATTAGCTCCCAGCCATTGTATGGGCTAGTTTTAGCACCCTTTGCTGGAAATAAAGGTTTTAGAAGATAAAGAAACAGAAGGAGATGAAATATGTTTCCAGTCTGAGCGTAAGATATTCCTCTCCCAAGGGGAATGGAGGAGACAACATTTTGAATACGCAGCCATTTCACTCTGTGAAGCTTGTCAATGTCAGGGCACAATTCTATGGGACCTAAAATCATTTAGGATCTGAATTTTGCTGGGGGATGCCTGGTCAGACTGCACGCTCTGCTAGCCCCAGGCGTGACGCAGGACTTCCAGCACCTACCTACGGTGCAGATTTCCATATGGATGGTGAAGATGGAGTGGGAGCGGGACGAGTCCTTGTTCATGAGGGTGTAACCCACTGCTCGGTTCCTCCAGCCCATCTCCATGATCCGCTCGCACTGGACCACGCTGTGCACAGTGTGCAGAGAAAGCCCCTTCACGTACACCCCCTTCTCCGGGTGCTCCTTCAGCTGCAAACAGGGACAAGGCAACACAGGTCACAACATGACACCAGCACCACGAGAAGGCACGCTGGGAGCCACCTGCAAGCTTGCAGGCTACATGCATTTCGTGTGTGGAGAAAGAAAAAGCACTTACATGAAAACCTCAGGGTGGCAAAGACGGTATTGTTAGTTACTGAAAAACACGAGACTAATTTTGAGGGCTGCCATCGGCCTGCTGAGCGTCCATACCTCCTGACACCTTCAGTGGGAGCCAGATGCACGCAGTAGGTGGCCATCCTTGGCATGCCCCATCAGCAGCTGCAATTTCAGCCAGCAGCTGCACTTGGTTGCAACCAAAAAAACTCATATTTCTGAAGCAGGAATGAAACCACACAAGAAGAGGGAACCACCTTTACGGTTCTGCAGCCAAAAGGGATTAATGTTAAGGGGTTGCTGCTTGATTCATTCATCTCCCAGGCCACAAGAAACCCAGCTTCTCTGCACTGAGCTGCCTTCTACCTCCCCTATTATTAAGCTGCATATTTTAAAAAGAACTGAAATGTTTTTCACCTATTATGGCAAAATCTCTAATATATCTTCGGTCACAGGGAGCTTTTTAAAATCAAAGCACAGATTCAATAGTCACAGATATTGTTACCAGTGCTTTACTGAACCCCTCCGCTCTGAGAGGGCGTCTTGTTCTCACTGACAAAATTCCCCCAAATCACACCCATCACGCACAGGCGGACTATAATAATTCTCCACATTAGTTCATTTTTTAGATGCTTTAAAATCCTATTCAGGCACCTGGATAGAGACAGTGTTAAATACCAAATAACACCTTTTCAGAAATTACTAATCGTGCAGAAGAAAACATACGGCATGTTAATAAATGATTGAAGACTTGAACGATCCATCAAACCTACATAAAAAACACAAAACAATCAAGAGATTCCTGCACTCCCACACTAGCCCCCTCTGAAACTCCCTCCACACTGGGAATTTTAAACAAGCTGAATTCATTTTCAACAGCTATGTTACGCCCCACATCCGCTGAGCTCATAACTACAATTCTATCTTTGTCATGTCAGCTGGGATATCGAGATAGTTGTCATGACTCGGTGTCACGGATGCGATAGATCCCACAGTTGGCAGTGTCACCCCCAAAGAAGACCTTTGGGTGATGCACAAGAAGATCACAAGAAGTGATGCAAAAGAGCGTGTTTGCTGTAAGAAAATCTGTGCGTAATGGAGAAGAACTGGCTGAAACCTGAACTCGACAGGATTTTAGCTGTGTTCCACGTCCACCGTAAAGCCACAACTGCCCAGAACTAAGAACCAGTTACAGGGCCACAGCCTAACAGGTTGCACACCGTGACTTTTGACTGTGCTACAGGACAACCCCACAGCTGGCAGGGCTGCAGCTGGGAGCGCTGCAGAGACCTGAGGGAACACCCAAGCGGGGACACGGCTGTCATTTAACTCCATGGCAGCCTGACCAGGGCATTTTTCTAGCAAAGCTCCTTAAGACCTGCTCTTCTCAGGGTTTCATCCCACAGCAGGCAACTGTGAGCCTCAGTGCTTCAGACTCAACAAAGCCACTGCTATTAAAAGGCAAAGGAACAAACAGAAACAGGATTTTGGAGGAGAATCAGGGGCCAGGCCCCAGCACGCAGCAGAAAGCGGTGGGTCAGCGCAGGCCTTCTGTCCCCGCAGGACACGGCTCGATTAATTACTTGGCTCAGCGGAGGCAGCAGCAGCCAGCAGCTGTGATGGGGTTTCCCTGGAAACTGCTCTGCCCAAGTCCTGCCCTCCCGGTGCCAACTGCAGTCGTCATGGAAACGGTGTCACTGCTGGTGCGGAACAAAGGATGGGGATCTGCGCCTCCTCAAGCAGCCAGAGCCCCCTTCTCCCTCCTCTCCCCCTGCGCCCACACGCGAGGAGCGCTTGGAAAGCGAAGCAGGGCACTGCCCGCCAGGGGATTTGCCTCCCCTAAGGCCAGGAGCCCGTGGAAAATTTGCCCTGCAAGGCTCAGGGAGGCACTTTGGGTCCCTCGGCACCGCAGCGCTTCTGTGCAGCAGATGGTGCTAGTGCCTCGGCTTTCCTCACACGGGCAGGCCTGCAGGGGAGTAAATTAGGACATGGGATTTGCAGGTCCCCCCGGGAAGACGTGCAAAGAGATCCGCAAAGCCACCAAGAGGCAAATTTTATAAAAATCAGCCCCTTGATTAGAATTTCGGCGCATTTCCCTTCTTGGGAGCTGCCCTCCTTGCCCGTGCATTCCAATGGGGAGTGATATCTGCTCTGCCCTCTCAAGAAGGATCAGCCTTTTTTTGTTTTAAACAGATAATGAGATCATCCACAGCTACGCTGGATCAGATTAAACATTTATAAGGCGCAGAATCCTCCTGCTTTAGAGACGAAGAGGATTAGGAAGAAATTGCCCCATGAGCAGTTTATTCCTTTCTTGTCCTGTAACCATTTTCACACAGCGTCTGCTAAGCTACTGGCCACTATCAAGCAGGACTCGCCTCTGACCAGATCCTGTTCCTTCTGCCACAGAACTTTCACTAAAATCCCTTAAAATCTCCTCCTGGCTTCCATATTCATCACTATGTTTATACTCTGGCATTCAGCTTCTGACAGAACATTTTCTTGCATTCCTGTGAGGCATATGTGATAACATTTATCTGAGCAAATTAAAGCACATCCTAATTAAGACATTGACTCCACCTCACCTCCAACTTCTGCTTGGTATCAGCTCCTAGAAGGTCTCGTACATCTTCATTGTAAATCTCCAGGTAGGAAGCTCTCACCAAGAACTTGGTATTTTCAGCACACTGCACAAAACAGGAACGATTTCAGGAGAAGGTTCTCAACATGAAGGCAACCAGGCAGCCCACATAAATCCTCAGCGCCAGCTGGGTGCCTACCTCCCTTCAGCACCTCATCAAATCTTCCATGGCATTTCATTCCCAGGTGTGACTACTCAACACACTTGCTATAGAGGCTTCCAGACCTTAAACTTCTCAGGTGCGAGTCCATAAAGTCAGCAGAGATGCGGGTGCAGGTCATCTGCCTCTCATCCTAAAGCAGAGGCTTGTGCATGGTCAGTATACCCAAAAGTTTTCTGGCCATAACAATTAGAGAGGACATCTTAGGTGATTTCTCAGAAGCAGACACCTATTTTGCAGACCCTTGCATTTGGGTGGATTATACACCTGCTGTCCAGTGAAAATAATCAGGCATCTAATGATATGCAGGACTATATTATGATAACCTGTCAGGGTCTATACTGAGATAATTTAAATGCGATACTTGGAGTTAAATTAGCACCACAGCCTTTTCTGTCACCCTGCATAAAAATATCATGGTATTTTACAGTATCTGAGACTGAAAATTCACAAGAACCAAACCTTACACTGCCCTGACAGCCACACAACACAATTGTACCGGTAGTGCAACTGAGACAGGGGAGGAAAAGATGCTTCCAGAAGTGAAGAAGCAGATAAATGGTACCGCTTCACTGAGAATCTAAAGTCCCATGTGACCTGGTTCATTCCTGTCCAGCTCTCTGCCTGCTCTTCTACCAATGCATTTAGGTTTAAAAACAGTGTTTTGGTTAAAGCACTTAACTGGGATGAAGATCAGAGCACTAGTCATAGCTCTGTGACAACTGTGATTTTGGGAGAACAGAAGAGCAGAACAGTATGGATATTACTCCTCTACTTTCCAGAAGGGCTGCCAGGATAAATACTTTAATGCCTGTGGCTCAGAGAGTATGACACTATAGAAAACGCAAAAATCATCTTTTTAGATACCACACAACGTTACAACAGGATCTCTTTCACATCATTACACACCTACCTGGATGCTCTCAAAAATGTGTTCAAATGCTCTAGGTATAATGCCTTTCTCTGTAGAAGGATCCACAACCCCCTGCATGGTAAATGACTTCCCGCTGCCAGTCTGGCCATAGGCGAATATGGTGCCATTGTAACCTTCAGTGACACCCTGGAAATGGAGAAAAGACAACAAATGGCCGTTATCCTTGGCACAACTAGAAATAAGTCATTCAGATTCTCTCCTGCCTTGTAAAAGGTATTTTAAAGGAAGATCTGGAAGTAAACAAAGCAATGGCTGGGCAACCTGGAGGCGAGTGAAATGCAGCTGAGATGCTTTTTGAAACTGCTGTTGAAGTCTCTCAGGTTCTTGAACATGAACTTGGTTAGACACGTCACTGAAATGGAAAGATGAAAGGGTACAAAACTAGAGCATGAGAAAAATCTTAATAGGCCATCAGAAAATTATAACAAAATGCATTCTATTACCGTATAAGTTGTCAGTTTTCTCTCATAATAGAAACCTTGAAGAAACGCAAGTGTTGAAAAAAATGGAAGCGTGGCTGACAATGCTTAGACGACCAGAACAGTTTTGACACAGGGCAGAAAATCTTAAGAAATGCAGAGGTACAATGAGGATGCCAGCTGACTGTAGGGCAGCCAAAAGGATGGTATCTAGCTTAGCATCCTGTTCTCCTGGAAAGCTGGCTGAACGCAGGCATTGCTTTCATTTGTTCCTGTTTCAGAGAACCGTGGTAAGAACAGAAGATACTTGGAACCTCCATCTTAAAATTACCATATTTTATCCCTGGTGTTTCTTCTAACAACACTGGCTTTTTTTTTTTTTTTTTTTTTTTTTTTGTATTTTTTTATTTCCTTTCTTGACTATTTCTTTTGTTACCCTAGCTGGTTGCCATGCTTATGAGTTAACAGGCAACAAACACAACCCCCTTCAGCTTTCACTATTGTAAAACAGGCTGAGGTTCCCCATCTTCTCTAAGGGTTCTTGCTAGGCAGTCAAAACGTCCCTAAAAGCACCGTGTTTGTACCTGCTGCAAACGGAGACGGGTGCTGCAGTTCTTGGCCAGCTACCACCTCTTGGGCCTGCTCGGGGAGGTTGTCTGTCATACCAACACCTGCCTGAGACAATCTGGAACAATTAACTGCAATTCTGTTCTCTGTGGCCTGCTGAAAAAAGGGTTTTCTTCCCAATTTCACAGCCTGCTGTCAGGGCACTGTTTGTTGTCCTCAGCCCTTCCTTTGCACCCCTGGAAGCAGCAGGGGGGGCTCCCAGCGAGGGGCCACCTGCCCAGGCACCTCCCGCGGGGTCTCCCCTCACCTCGACCAGCGGGTAGGCGACGTCGTTGTAGATCTGCTCGGTGCCGTGCTCCTGCCGGTACGCCCCGTCGAAGGCGAACAGCTTGGGGGGCTGCCCGGCGGCCGCGGGGTTCCGCAGCGCGCAGCGGCCCCGGGCAGGGTCCACGCTCACCACGGCCGCGCAGCCCAGGGCCCGCTCACGGGCGTTGAGGGGCCGGCAGCGAACCACCACCTTCACCGCCTCCATGCGGGCACCGGGGGGCCCCCGAACGGCCCCGGGGGCAAGGCGGGGGTTTGGGGGGGCGGGCGCGGCGCGGCCCCGACGCGGTTGCCCCGGCAACGGGGCGGTGACTCCCGAGGCCCCGCCCCCTCCCCCCGGGTCACGTGCGGCCGGGAATGGCGCGAGGGCTGCACGTGGCGGGGGCGTGCAGACCTCGGGGTGTGCAAGGGCGCGTGCACGGCGGGGGGGGGGGGGGTGCATTTGCACGCGGGAGTGCGCGTGCTGGGGTGGCAGGTGCAGGCGGGGAGCACGTGGTGGTGTGCAAGGGTGCGGGCGTGCAGCTTGCACGGGGGGTGTTTGGGTGTGAGCACGCGGGCGTGCACGCAGCAACGCGGTGTGGGGGTGCAAGAAAAAGGCCGCAGCACACCCGGAGCAGGAGAGCCGTTTATTGCCCGCGGAGCCGCACAGCCCGCAGGGCGCGCAGGGAGGGGGTGAATAAGGCAGAAGGCAGCAACTTAAAGCTACGAGAGGGCTGGGGGCAGCCGGGCCTAACCCCGCTCATGCTGCACCACGGCGGGGGCCCAGGCGGCCTCCCCCCAGGCACTGGCCCCGCCGGGGTCCTGCTCCTCGTAGCCGGGGTTGCAGCGCCCCGGGGTCAGGCGGCAGAAGCAGCCCCCCGGTGCCCCGGAGTAGTGAGCCAGCAGGGCCGCCACGCTGGCGAACTCTGAGCTGGAGTGCTGCCACCGCGGGGAGAGAGGGCAGAGGTGAGCCCCCCGCCAGCGGGCATCGTGCGCCATGCACACGTGCAGACACAGGCCTGAGTCCAGCGCACACCGATGCAGCCAGCAGGCAGGCACGGGTGCGCCCAATGCAGCCACACACCCGTGTGCAAGTGCACACATGCAAGTTACCAGGTGCGCTTGTGCACCAGTGAACCTGTGCATCTGTTGCAGCTGTGCACACATGCACTCATGCACCCATGTGCAGATGCAGCTGTGTGCTGATGCAGCCACAAGGCAGGTACAGCCTTGTGCCTATGCTCCAAGTGCATTTATGGACCAGTGCACAGGAGCCCCCATGCAGCAATGCATCACACACCAATGCACAGACGCAGCTGTGTGCAGATACACCCACAACTTGAAGGCCATGGATCAAATGCACTCACACACCACTGTGCCCATGCACCACACACCCATGCACTTGTGCACCCCTGCACCCATGAACCCAAGGCACATACATGCTAATGCATGCATATAGCCATGCACCTATGCACCAATGCCCCCAGGAACCTGCGCATCAAATACCCCCACACAGTTGCACCTGTGTGCCCACACACCGATACCCCTGTGTACCTATGCAGTTATGCAGTCAGAAAGGAAATGTACCTCTGCACCATGCACAAATGAATCAAATACACTTATGCACTGCTGCTCCCATGTGCTGATGCGCCACCAGACACACCGATACCCCTATGCACCCATGCACATGTGCACCTGCAAACCACATACCCATGCACAAGTGCACCTATGCAGCTACGAAGCAAAAGCAATCCATGTGCGTGTACACGTTAATCAAATGCACGTGCACACTGATGCACCCATGCATGAATGTGCCAGCTCACCTATTGACAAACACACCTGTGCAGCCATGCATTGGTGCACCCACACACTGATGCATTAGGGCAGCAATAGACCCATGTCCCAGCATACTGAGGTACACGTGCACCCACACACCAGTGCACCAACACACCATGCAGGAATGCACCAGGGCACCCATGCACGGATGCACTCTGCACCGTGCACTAACGTGCAGTGCACCCACGCACTGATGCAACCAGACCGCGACACACCAATGCACCGGAGCACCCCCACCCTGCTGCACGAACACGGCAGTGCCCCCAGCCCCGACACCCTGTCGCCCCCTGCCCTGTGCAGCGCTCTCACCTCCACGCAGAACCGTCCCTGGGGTGTCCTGAAGACGCAGTAGGGGACGACGCCGCAGGGCGCCCGCACCCACAGGCACCAGCGCTTGGCCAGGCCGGGCTCAGGGCGCAGCAGGAAGGCGCCGGGGACGTCCCTGCGCAGCAGCGCGATGCCGCCGTCCCTGGGGGGGACGAGGAGGCGGGTGGGCACCGCGAGGGGTGGCAGGGGTCCAGGGGCTGCCGTGCACTCACCTGGCGATGCCGGCAAAGGCCCACACGCTCTCGGCCAGGATGCTCTCGTTCTCGGGGAGCAGTGCCAGGCTCCGCGCCCCTTTGCTCTCCCATCCCGAGGCCGCTGCAGGAGCCGGTCAGTCTCCTCCTCACCCCCAAACCCAAGGCCTCGTCCCCCCAGCCCCGTGCGCTTCAGCATCACCTCCAGGCACTCACCGGCCTCGCGGGGTGGCTGATGCGGCTGGCTCTCAGCCCCGCAGTCACGATAGGCGCCCGAGCGCAGGACTTTGCTGCGGATGGCTTTTTTGCGCACCAGGACCGGGGAGCAGTAGGGGTTCCCTGGGCGCCAGCTGCCAGCTCGGCCCTCAGCCTCCGGCCGCCGCTCCTGCAGCAGAGAGCAGGGAATGGGTTTTTGGTGGCACTTGCTATGTGAAATACTGAGCAAAAAGGCCATGCAAAAAAAAAAGTCATGCAAAATACGCTGCAAGACACCATGCAAAAAAAAAAAAAAAGCCATGCAAAACACCCTGAAGAAGGTATGCAAAAAATGACCTGCAAAAAGCGCTGTACAAAATAAAGGCATGCAGATGTGCTATGTATAAGATGTTGTGCAAGAAAAGCCACACAAGTTATCCCACAAAAATGATGCACAGAAGTGCAATGTAAAAAAATGCCATACAAAAATTCCAAGGGAAAAAAAATGAAGTACAAAAATGCTATACCATAAAAACATTTTTAAAATTGCTACGTAAAAAAACCAAACAAGCAAAAGCTGCCATTTAAAAAAAAAAAAAATGAAGAAAAAACACATGCAAACACCAAGAAAAAATGTCACATAAACAACCATGCAGAAATGCTGTGTAAAATACCATGCAAAGTTGCTATGCAAAAAAAGTGCTGTGCAAACAGGCCCAGAGTAAAACACCATGCAAAAAAAAGGCCCATGTAAAACAGGCTGTGCAAAAGACTGCAAGAAAAAGCTATGCAGGATGGACCATGCAAAATGCAATGTGCTATGCAAATCTCCATGTCAGAAAAGGCCGTGCAAGAAAGATCCATGCAAAACAGCGTACAAAAGCCAGTAGGGAAAATACTGTTGCAAAACAGCACGCAAGAAGAGGCTGCAAAAAACATGCCATGCAAAGCACCATGCAAAACTGCATACTGTGCAAAAAAAAACATTGCAAAGAAAGATTGTGTAATAACTGCCAGGGAAGATGTCATGCAAATGGTGCTATGCAAAAATAATAAAGAAAAAAGGCCCTGCAAGACATCACATAAAAACATGATGTGCAAAAGTACGCCATGCAAGCATACCCTGTACAAAGTGCTGTGCAACAGTGCCATGCTAAAACACCTTGCAAAAAAAACATGGTGCAAAGGCACATGGGGCAGCACCCAGCACCTTGTGGCCTGCACCTACCCCTGCACCCAGCGAGCCGAGGCCGATGGGCGCGGGCAGGCGCCGGAAGGAGACGAGCGCGTTGACATTTCGTGACACCTCCTCGGGGTTGAGCGGCTCCCGCAGCACCCCGGCACCCGACGGCTCCCCCTCGCCCGCCTGCTCCTCGGGGTGCGCCAGGAGATAGCCGAGCTGGAAGGAGCGGCAGAGCAGGAGGTGCAGGACTTGCACCTGGTTGGGTGCAAAGAAGGCAGTGGGTGCAGGGGCCAGGGATAATGAAAACGCGTTTGTTTGTTTGTTTGTTTTTGCAGTTTTTTGTTTTTTTTTGGAGTGTTTGGGGTGTGCACCACGCACCTCACCCGGGGGGCCCATGAAGAGGTGGCAGAAGAGGGCGCTGGGGGGGCTGTAGGGGTTGCGGGCCACGAAGGCGAACTGGTGCTCAGCGTGCCTCCAGGTGCTGTACAGGATCCGGCGCAGAGCGTGCGCCATCAGCAGCGTCTGCGGCGACAAGGGGGGGGCTGGCTGGGACCCGGCACTCCCGGGGTGCAAGCAACGCCTGGCCCGAGCCTATTTGCAGATGCATGGCTGCAAAGCAGGTTTCCTGAGCGAAAAGCAACATCCCGAGTGGTGCAACCCCAACAAGCACCTTTGCAAGGTGGCACCCAGCACCCTGCACCCACCTCCCCATCGGCACCGTAGACCTTCAGCCCTTGCAAGCTGAACCTCAGCACCACCGACCTCCTCCTGGGGCAGTCCTGGTGAGAGAGAGGGGGGGTGGCAGTGAGGTCCCCCCCGTGCCATCGGGGGTCCCCCCACACCCTGGGGTGCCCCCGCTTTGTGCCAGTGGGGTCTCCTGACCTTCAGTGCCCGCAGCTGCTCCTCCAGCCACCCCACTTGCCGCTGCAGGTCCAGGTCCTCCACCGCGAAGGAGCCCACGTACTGGGGGAGGCGGGCAAAAAGTTCACCCCACTTTAACACCCTCCCCACCTGCCAGGATGCCAAAATTGCCCCCTCCTGGGGCAATTCCCACCCAGTGGGAATGCGATGCTGTAGGGTTGCACCCAAATTTCCCCAGTGGTGCAACAGCTTTAGGGTGCACGTGCATTAAGAGTAGGGGGGGGGAACACCAACCCAAATCCCCCCACCCTGCAAAGCCCTGGAGGGGGGTGCAGCTCCCCAGGGGGCAGGATCAGGCCCCTTGTCTCCAGTACCTCACCTCTGCTGGCTTGGCAATGCCCCGGGCACGTGGCAGGGGGGCCGCCGGATCCGGTCCCCTCCCGTTGGCCGTCTTCTTCTTCATGGCAGTGGGTCGGGGGAGCTCAGGGGGGAGTTAAAATAGCTCCAGCGCCGCATCTGACTTGGAATTGTTGTGCTCCAGCTTGGAGGCCACCCACGGACGCCCAGCGGGAGCAAGGGGCGATGTGGGGGGCCCCAGGGCCTCGGTGAATGAACCCCTGCAAGGAGGGACCAGAGAGACACAACCTGCCCCCGCCACCCCCCGCTTCCAGCTGCTGAGCTCCAAGAGGAGCTGCAGTCCCCAAGTCTTGACCCCGTTGCAGAGGTTCCCAAATCCTCACCCTGATGCAGAGGTCCTGCCATACTGACCCCAATAATTGGGTCCCCAAGTCCCCTGATGCAAAACTCCTGCACCCCAACCCCATCCTGAGCACTGTGCGAGGGGCCCCACACGACACCAAGTGCCATGCAAGGGTCCCCTTGTCCTGGCCTCCAGCACCACGCAAACATCTCCACGTCCAACCCCTGCCCTGATGCAAAGTCCCCCACATCCCAACCCCATGCGAGCATCCCTGCGTCCTGACCCTGAGCAAGGTAACGGGGTCCCAGTGGTGTGCTCCGAAGCACCGTGCAAGTGTCCCATGCCCCTGCCCCAAGCACGGCGAAGGCATCCACGTCCTGACCCCAAGCACGATGCACAGGTCCCCAAACCCTGCCCCCAAGCACACCACACGCATGCAAGAAGCAAGGTGCAACCCCGCACCCAGCGAGCTGCCGGGGTCCCCACGCCCCTGGGGGCTGCAGGGGGTCTGGGGCAGCTTTGCCAGCAGCTCCCGAGGGCTGTGCTCGGCCCCTCTGCGGTGCCCCAAGGGGGTTTCTCCCCCCGCAGCCCCCGGCCGGGCTGAGACCCCCACAACTCGTGGCCCCGAGGCCACGCCGCAGCCGCCCGTGGGGAGCTGGGGTCCGGCTGCCCCCAGGCGCATCCCAGCGGGGAGCGAGCCCGGGGCTGCCCCCTCCTTTCGGGCACTATTTGGGGGTCTCTCCCCCCCCCCCCAGCCAATCCGCGGGCAGGCAGCCCCCAGGCCCCGCCCCCTCTTTCCCACGCTCCGCTTCTCAATGGAGCCCCCCCCAGCCCACCGCCACCCCGCGGGTCCCCGTGGGGGGGGGGGGGGGGACACACACAGAGGGACACCCGGACAGGGGCAGCCCCCAGGGGACAGCAGCCCCGGCTCGCCCAGCCCCAAGGGCTCCCCGCTCCCCCCCCGCTCACGGGCAGCTTGCTCTCTTCTGGAGAAACGCAGGCGAAAAATCCTCCGGCTCTCGGCCTCCGCCGGTTGCTTCCTTCCCGGGGGGGCTCCGCTCTCCGCAGCTCGGGGCCGCTGTGCCCGTGGGCGTCAGGCCCCTGCCGCCCGCCAGGCCCCGGCGAGCCCGAGCCCACGACGGGCACGGGGCAGGCAGCAAACTCCCATTTCCTGCCTGCGATCTGCCCGCGATGAATCACCGCAATTTACCTCCCCGTTTTCTCCGTTTCTTGGAAGCGACGGCGATCAGAAACGCTCGGGCTTTTTGGAAAACGCGGCTGCAACTGGTTTCTGTTTTTTTTTTTTTTTTTTTTTTTTTTTTTTTTTCCCCCTCTCCTTTATGCTGGCGTGCCCAGCAGAGAAGCAATTCCCAACCCTCTCCCTGCTGCACACACGCGGTTGCTCACTCGCCACCCCCTGCCCCGCTGCTCAGCCACATTTCACCCCAATTTCCAAATTCCCCTTTGCCCACTGCTCTTCAGCCTTCCTCATCCCCCCAGCTGAAAAAAAAATAAAGAGGGGTGGCTCCAACCTCACTGCAAAGAAGGGGACAGAGCCACACAAAGCCAAACCCTAGGGGTCCCCAAAATGCTCGAGCCTGCCAAAGCTATGGGACCAAGGCAGAAGCTGTCCCCAGCTACAGGGATGTGCCTGGGAGGTGAAAGCATTAGTTTAGGGAGAAAATGGGGTCTAAGCCCTAGGAGATGCCTCCAAAAATCCCCATGCCAGCCCTGCCTCACGCCCCCATGCACCCAAGGGTGCAAGGAGAGGTGCCCTCCTGTTCTTGTTCAAGCCTTGGGCTGCCACCAGCATCAGCTGCTTCAAGACGCTGTGCAATGCCCCAGCAGGGCCCACCGGAAGAGTTGGATAATGTAGAAAAAAAAACATAAAATGGACAGATGGGCCTGAAGAAATAACATAACAGAGCCAGTCTGGCCAGGAAGCGGAGCCTGGTGAAGAGCGTGCGGTGGATCCGGTGCAAACCTTCCTGGAGGCACAGCAGAGCCACTGCCTTCTCCATCACTCTGCCAGCGACACCACCGCAAGCCCAGGGTTCCCCTTCACAAGCCCAGTTTGGAGGCACCCACTTGCTCAGGGCTGCCCTGGGAAAAGAAATTGGTTAATTAGCAATCAAGGCCCCAGCCAGAAAGAATTTGGAGATGGCTGAGGTAACAAATGGCTGTTTCTAGCCCAACTCTTGTATTCATCCCCCAAGATAAACTCAAGGCTAAGTGCTTAACACCTGAAAAAACTAGAGGAGTGCAAGCACATACGCTTTGGAACAAATCTCAGCTTTTTTAAAAATAAGGCTCTGCTTGTCTGACTACTAGTATTGACCACTGTGACCACCAGAAGTCTCTAGGTTGGTGCAGCTGCAGTCTACCATGACATTCATCACCCAAAAACAAACCTTACATTTATTTTTTTTGCATTCAATGCCAACTATGTCTTTAAAAACAAGCCATTTTTTTTTTTCTTAAAGAAAGGACTTCACTCTATTTTGACACGACCCGCAGCAAAATTAAGCCATGCTCAAGCGCAAAGAATTGGTGTTTTAACCAAAGATTAGTGTTTTATCAGGTATTTTTTGGGTTGCTGGTGTGGGAACATTATTGTGAAGGGGGGAGGTTGCATGGTGTTCCAAGCCACAAGATTGCCAGCATCTGGGAAGAGGACTCCTCATCTCCATAAGCACCCCATAGGTAAGAAAACCATTTCCCAAATTTGTCTCACTTTAATGCCTACCTGGAAGAAAATACTGCCAAAACCCACAGTTTCAGTACATGCAGTGCTAGGAAAGAGACCTTTACTAAACTTTCTAATTGCTTTACATCCTTGCAAATTACTCTTTGATTGGTGCCTTCACTCTCCCAGTCTTTTATTAGCCATGATTTCATTAGCCTGCTGTTTGCACCCTTGTTACAGGGCTGGGAACAATTCAGGGCGTTTCTATAAGAATCTTTAAACTCCAGTTGTTGCAGGTAGCACACTGGGATTGCAACTGAAAAGAGTAAATTCACTAAGGCTATTTTCTCCAATTTGCATTTCATTTCTAGAGATACTTCAACTACTCTCAGCGTGGTATATGCAAAGCTCTTTCCAAAAGCACGTACAGCAAGAAGACTGTCAGGTCACATTCAAATCATTCTCATTGCCCTGTTCAAGGGAGAGCTGAGGATGTGCTGGAGCATGTTTTGAACACAGGTACTGCTCTGTATCAGAAAGCAGGGCAGGGGGGAAGGTTTCATGTGGTCTTTTTTTTTTTGGTCCCCACTGGACACTGTTTGGGTCAGAGGGAGAAGAAGAGCAGGATGAGGTTCAAATAGAGCTTGCTTCTTGCTCACCTTTGTCTCCAGAGAAACCAAGGGAAGAAAAAGGTCACAAATCCAACCAACTACAGAGCTTGGCAGGGGCTCAGACTAAAATAGCCCCACTCTTTCACACTGTCAGTGTACTTCTAACAAAGGCTTGCCTCCGCAGCAAACCACACTTGCTGTAATTCCCTCCTCTCTTCGTTTCCAGGAGGAGAAAGCTGTGGCGAGGAAGAGAAAGGACACACAAAGCGGGCCTGGAATCTAGTTTCATTTTATTTTAGCAAACTGCATGTTCTTCACTTATCAACATCTCTACATTAGCAATTGTATAGCTCTCCAACTTTTCTTTAAAAAAGGGTAAACAAGAAGTGACAAAACTTAGGCTCTTCATCTCTTAAAAATGTTTGAAAGTTGGATTCAAGAAGACTTTTATATATTTTGGTTTTAAGGTAACAGATGTGGTGTGGAAACACTAATTCAAATCACCCGCCCAGCCGAGAACTACCCCTTTTCAAGCCCCCCGGTGTCAGACGATCAGTACATGTGGCAGCCTCCGGTTACTGAAGATGTCTACTCACCCTCAAAATGTGCTGGTCTGAAGGAGCCAAATGCACCACCTCCTTAGCCTGTCACTACAACGGCCGAGCAGAAAGAAGCACCTCCAGGACTCAGTGCAAGTGCTGTATATACACTGCTTCTTCACAGAAGCATGAAGGACCTCATCATGCAGGGGATCTAAGGACTCTAGTGCCGCTGTACCTTCTCAGTTAAGAATCTTATTTCCCCAATCACCATGTTCCTGCTGTCTAAAGAGACAAAGAACTTATTTGAAGAATTTTTAAAAGCCACCCCCTCCCTCCAAACCCAAGAGGAACACCATAAAAGGTACAGATTACATGTCCTAGAAGAGTTCTAAAATTATTGCAGAAACTAAAGATGACCTGTTCCAGGGGAGGGGTAGGCACGAGGCACAGCACTGAGATCTAGCAAATGCTTGGGATGGTTTGATTTAGTTTTCATCTTTTCCCCCATCATCCAAGGAAAACAACAACAAAAAAAAAAGTGTTTAAGCATCAGAACTAAAATACAAATGCACATTGACTTTATAAAACAAGATTGTGGGACCATGGGATTCCCTGACACTGGAAAAATTTACTTTTTTGCCCGGAGAGATTTCCTCATGGTAGGTTTGCCCTTGGCAGAGGGTTTCACTTCCTTCCTCCCACTGGCTGCTGGTTTCTTGGAAGAGCTGCCACCAGAGGGTTTCTTGATGGCTGGGGCTGCTGGTTTGGCTTTCTTAGCAGGGGTTTTCACCTTGGGTGGGGGCTTTGCTTTTCCGCTGCGGGCTGCAGGGGTTTTTCTTGGCTTAGGCTTGGACTCTCTCCGTTTCATCGGAGGGGCCCTACTCCGTGATTTTGGAGGAGGTCTCTTCTGCATCCTGTCAGAAAGAAAGGCAGCACAAGATCTCAGTGGAGGCGCAAATGCTACCCAGAGCAGAGCTGCTGTCGTCAATTTACATAAATGAAGCAGATCTTGGCATCCTTGTTCTTTACCACGGATGTTCCTTTATGCAGCAGTACATTTCATTAGCTAAATCCCAAAGAGCAAGAAATCCTGTGGTGGATCTTCCCATGCTAAGCACTTCTCAATCCCCACAGTGTTCTGCCAGCAAGGTTTCTAACTCCTTTATTAGGCAGATAAACATACAATGTCAATAAATGTAAGTCAATTGTCAGAACAATTCAGTGGCCTAAGCATCCTCTCTCCCTCTCTGAGAGAAATTTCATTACTTAATGAATAACACTTATCTTAAATCCACATTCTGAGTGAGACAGGTTTCATATCTGGCTACAGAACTGCAAATAACACTGTGGGGAGAAGTTTTGTTAATGAGACACCTAATAAATAACAGGAAGTCCCACATGAAAAAGTCACACTTGTAAAGCACAACAGGCGCATGGGAGACTAAAGGCAATACAGAGAATAAAGAGAAGTTCTCTTCCTCTCATCTAGAGATGATTCCTACTACGGAATGGAAGACACCAGTCTCTGGAACAAGGCATCGCTTCTGCAGGCTGCACACGTCCCAGAGAAGTCCTCATCCTGACAGCACCCCAAAAGTTCAACTGTAATTAGAAATTTCTTTCTCCAGTACCACTGGAGTGACAGCCTCGTGGATAAATATCCACAGCAAGAGACAAACCTGTGCACTCTACAGCTGTGACTGTCATTTTTAAAGAGCCCATTTATCTCTCATGCTGTCACATACCTTTTCTTTGGTGGTGGCTCTTCCTCCTCAGACTCTTCCTCTTCTGATTCTTCTTCCTCCTCAGATTCCTCCTCCTCTTCCTCATCAGATTCTTCAGAGTCCTCATCCTGCTGCTTCTCTGGGTAGAGCACACCTGGACTACAAGAGGATTCTTGTGAGAGCAGGACATTTCTCAGGATATGACTCCAGGGTCAGCAAAACTTAGGTAACCCCGATTCTCATTGGGGACCACTGCCCATCGCCCATCATCCTTTAAGGTTACAGCTTTGAGCCTAAGCCAAAAAAAAACAACACAGCAAGCACAGAAGTCTATTTGTTTGGGTTCATCTGAAACCAACATTTAGTCTCTGCAATGGCAGGAGTGCAACAGCTTTTAAGTCACCAGGAATGCCACCGCACTCCTGTACATAAGCTGCCCTTTCTCCAGTTCTCTTCCTCATTGCTCCTTCTGCACAAACACAGGAAGACAGACAACAAAGGGACAAAATCAGACTTCAACAACTCTGAATACAGGCCAGAGCCACTGAGAGCTTTACATGTATGTAATAAAAGAAGGTGGGAAGCAGAGACTTTAATGACTGTGTTGCCATTTGGCTCTTCATGGGACACTAAGGCTTTCCTGGGCTCCATGTGGCCCAGCACAATATATGCTCACAGCAGGAGAAGAAAGGCTGTTTTAGTCTCACAGTAGCTAATCTGGGTCATCTTCCCTCCTCCCACCCCTCCTCCACATCGGCATTACGAGAGGCAAACAACTGAGTCCTACTTGTTATGAGCATCCTTGTATTAAAGAACAACAATACACTATACCTGCCTCATGCGAATTTGTTTAAGCATGGGAACACTTAAATATCCACTACTCCATGAGAAAAAAAATCACAACAGAGCTCCTGAAAACATTTGGCCCAATATTTTTATTGTCCTTAAAAGCCTCCCTTGCTAATGAAGTCAGCTTTATGTCCACTCACAGTCAGACATCCAAGTAATGTCATTATCTAGAGCAATATTGGTGACAACGTTGTGGTTTCTCAGTTACGAAACCCTCCACAAGCTTCCCTGTAAACAGCCTGTGAACTTCAGCAACACTACCTGGCTGATCTACGCAACGCTTATCTTCAACATCATTTTACAGCCAAGCTCTTTACCTAGGATAATAAGGGAAGCAAAGCTGAAAGGTTCCACTGAAGCCCTTTCCAGAAATCTGCTCCAGCCAACCATTCTTCTCACATCTCTGCAGGGTTCTCTTCAGTAGATGCACTGTGAAAAATCAGAGAAAGGTTGTGTTATCATCTTTATCCACTTGTCTAACCTTACTGCTCTCTGTAGCGTCCTCTGAAGTTAGAGATGGAGAGTCAGAATGAAATCTCCTTTCCCGGAACACTTGTGGGGAAATGAAACAGCACCAGAGACCCGCGACTCATGTAGACATCACTGCATGCTTGTGCACTCGGCAAAGGCCATCTGCTTTGTGAAGGACCCAGCTAGGCCACTGCATTTAGAAGTTTTAATATGTCATATTCAAAGGGAAATCCTTTCACAGATAATTTTCTGAAAAATTCAAGCAATATATAAGATTCAAGTGTTGGCTCACGAACACTTATCAAGAATGGGTTTAAATTCACTGACTGAAGAAGTCATGAGCAAGGGATCCTTCTTTATAAGTGCATTCAAAAGCATCACATAACTAAAGCTTTCTTCAACGTATTCTTTTAGAATATTTAAAATCAGTCCTTACTCTGTTTTTGCCCTCATCTCCCTCGTATTCCAAGATTTATGCAGTATATCTGTCCCGTTTTCATTTTATTTAATGGGAAATTTGGTCTAGAAGTATGACAAATGATTTTTTTATTCCAATCTTCTGTTCCATTGTGCACCATATAAGAATTCTAATCAAAAGTGTGCAAATAAAGGGGATCTTTGTCTCAGGTAAAGGTCTGAAATTGTTTTAGTTCAAAACCATTTTTGGCTTAAACTAGGGGGGACAGTTTACAGATTTAGCTCCCTTGAAGCAAAAAAGCAAGGCCTGCCCTCAAAGCATGTCCTAAAGAGGTTCACTTGAGGAATGGAAAGAAAAATCCAAAGAAACATGCTGTCATTTGAATCTGTTCTGCATGATTAATGTAAAGGTATTCACTCTAACCCCTTATTCAGCACTTCTGAAATGGGCTTTTATCAAGAGCTGACATTTCACAGTAAGAGAATCATTTGGGACAACACTATACCTTCACCAGCCTACAGTCTACCTCTGCTGAAAAGTTTTAATTTGAGTGGCACTAGAAAAGCTTGCCTAGCTACTTGAACCAGCTGTACCCATTAAATTATTAGTGTTGCAACACTAGGTTCTTAAAAAGTTCTTGGACTACAAAGAACTCCACACCTTTGTAAAAAGGAGCAACACAAACAACATCAAGCTATTTCTACCTGGGGTACCACAGATCAACAGCAGCATGTAAAGGATTTGACTGGAGTTGTAAGGCCGAGGTATAAAATGGTGGAAGAGTATAGAATACTGGCTCTGTAGTGTGTACCTGCCTGCTTTTATATCTCACCACATATTCCTCTGGTTGCTCCTAAAACAGAGCAGAGAACAGCAAAATCCTTTTTATGCAGTGGAGGGAGAAAGAAAACACCCGATTACTAGTTGAAATTTCCTTATCTGACTAGCAAGGCTGACAAGCTCTCGAGGCTGACTAAACACAGGCCTCTAGGGACCAGGGCAGCTTCCAATAGTCCTGAAAACAAATAACATAAGGGCTTAGTAAGCCTGGGAACTCTCTTCCCTGCCCCAAGGTTAAGAAGATACACTTGGCATCAGCCTCTAATTGGCAGAAGGCCTCAGGCAACTTCTTTAGGCCCCACTGCTGGCAGGGAGCCTGTGATCCTCCTCGACACATTGGTAAGCTCTGTTTCAAAGACCTGTGCTGATTCTGTGCTTCATCTCTGTATGATGGCTGTGGGATCAGCAAGTTCCTCTCCAGCCCCTGCTCCTGTGGGATGGCCCCAGCACCATGACACCACAGCAAGAAACTGATCTACTTTCAGGTCTGATTCTGCTAGATACCGCTGCAAGCTCACACTGCTTCAAGTGACCTTCAGCCTAGGCTAAACTGCATCATGGCTTAGACCAAATAATGCAAATAAGCCATTAGCAGATCTACTTTAAAGTCTCTATTAGTATTGTTTCTGCTAGTGCAAAAGCCAAAATAGACATTGTCATTACTGGGACTGAGATATGCCACACCTTTTTTCCAAATACAACTGGATTAGTTTCTTTCCTTACTTGCTTGACCTTCTAAAATTGGAGCCAGAAGAGGACCTCAAACAACACAGTAAGAGGGATGCTTGCGGATTTTATTTGTTAAAGTTAGACTGTGCAACTTCTCTAAATTAAAAGCTGCTAGTGACTGTACTTCTGCCAAGCTGTAGCCTCTCAATATATATAGAAATCCAGCTGGTGATTTAAGAACAATAAAGTAATTGAATACTATTCCCCCTTTCTGGGGATATGCTACAGACAAGAGAAGCATGCATTATGTCTCAGGAACTAGCCTTTGTCAGGCTTGAAAGGAACTAATGGGAATTAAAAACTCTGAGCATCCCTGCAGCACAAAGAGTGGAGCAGCTGTCAGTTCCCTAGCAAGCTCAACCAAATAGTTTAAAGGTGCTGCACAGACACATCTGCAGCTGCAGAATTCTCTTTCAACTTGTGAAAAAGGAAAGTTATATAGTTTACCCTGGAAGTTGGAGTTGGTCCCTGGGTGGTTTTCCAGGATATACTTCTTCAGTGCTGTGGTGGAGCAGGTCTTCGGTTCGTTCATGGCCGCAATAGCAGACAGGATGGCATCTTCCATCAGAGTCCCACCCAGCAGGGGCTTCTCCCCTGACTTCTTCAGCTATTTTCCAAGGAGGAAGAGAAAAGCATCAAGACAAAATTCTCCCAAACCAGGTCAGGACAAGCTCCTCTGCACCAGGTGGGTCGGCGCTCCTGCATTAGCACAGATATGTTTTATATTAAAACACTGCACAGGGAACGCTGCCCTCCCAGCGTTAACGGTAGGACAAGGCCTATTCAGTCAACTGGCCTGCAGTGCTTTGCACTGGTAACACATTGTCCTACTCCCAAAATACACTGCAAGGGTATGGCAATCTAAGGGCCTGTCACTCAGGGAAGGAAATAAATCAGATCTTCCTCCATCCCACAGACCAAATGTAACCAAGAGACATCTACGGCATAGACACGAGGAAGAGGCATTGCAGACATCTGGGGTACCTACTGCACTCACAATTAGCGATGGGAAGGAAAGCTTACCCCACCATCTCCCCTACTGTGCTAATGAGTCAGAGCTGAAGCAGCGTGTGGAACATGCTAAGCAAGGAAGGCGGGGGGGTCTGTTGCAGAATGTAGACCCAGAGGAGAAAGAATCCTACTGCTTCATAGGTTCACAACTGCTGAATTTGACAGGCTGCTAAAGAAAGGTGTACCCAATAAAACTGGGGTGGGGAGGGCATGTAAACTTATATCCAAGGCTTCTGGTCAGTACAGTCAACAGAACAAGACGAACTCTGGCTCTGACCTGGAATGTCCCAGATGCTCCTTTCCCTGTGATCTGCTCTAGCTGGCCCTTCTCTACAGCTCTCTGCAGGGCATTCTTCAACAGCTGAGGTCTGAAATACAGGAGGATAAAGCTTTACTGACACACACTGACAGCTTAAAAAACAAACAGAGAAACAACACTCTATAGAGAGTGTGAGAGGAGCAGTACTTACACGTGGTATCTGCCTACATACAGACATTTTAAATGGAGATCTGTCAGCAAGTGCTGATTACATGAGAGGAACAATGTACGTTAGCGGAAATTGAACTGCAATGCTTTCTGGGTGTCACTGTGTATCCAGAAACAGTGAAACTTCATTTGGAAGGATTTACTCATTTTGAAATGCACATTTGGAGACTGGACTCAGTGGGCAATGAGTCAGTCAGCTCAGAGACAAACAAGGGACTGAGTACAACAAGCCCTGGTAATAGGTGATGCATAGGACTTTCCTAGATTTTCTTCCTCCCCAGTCTTTGACCCGCTCCACATGGACAAACTCACAGATCATATTAAGTGTGTGCCGTTTAAAGCATTCAGAAACAAGTGGAATAAGATTCCAAGGAGAGACCTTCATATTCATGCAGCTACAAGGATCCAGTTTTCTCTAAGGGCAGAGATGCGTACAACAATGCTGATGTTGGCATCACGAACAAAGATTGGGTGTGGAGGGATGCAGAGAAAAGGCACAGCTTTTCTCAAGCTTTCCTGCAGGCTCTATGATGGAGAGCACCACCTGTCTGCTGCCTGATGAAATACTGAATTGAATCACCGTAAAGTGAGGCAAAGCCAGAGGAAGGCAGCATTTCACAGCTTCTCTGGAGCCCTGCTTGCAAAAAGTATACACCTGCACCTACCTTACATCTACTTTGAGTTTGGGGTAATACTGAGACACATATTTCTTGATCAGGCTGTAAGAAGCTTCCTTCGGCTCACAAAGGCGGGTGAAAGCCAGTGGCAGGATGTCTTCCAGCTTGACCTGTTGCTCTGGAGTCGAAGCGGAAGTGCTTTTCTGAAATACACATACTTTTACGCATCAGTGGGGCCTAAAACTCTGGGTTTTTCTGATCCAGCAACAAACAGGTGAGAAGTGCTCCTGACTGTGGCCACAGATCTGAAAAATCAAGTTCTATAAGGCAGCTCTTTAAAATAACAATTTAGAAAGCTCAGCTGTTTAAAATCTAGCACATCTGGTTAGAATTTTCATGGGAATTTCTTAGTCAAAGTCTTATATTTATAAATATGCCAAGTATTTACCAAAAGCTGTTTCCTAGTTTCCTTTTTTTAGATGCTTTCCTTTTCCTCTTTTTAATAGAGGCTTTCCTCTGCTACCTTTCAACAAGAAAGTGAGGTGAAACGATTTATATGTTGACATAAAACAAAAAACAGAGACCAAAGCTGTTTACACAGGTTAAATCTTCCCAAAAACCAGCTAAACAGGAGTGCATTTTTGTTCAACTCATAGCATGAAGTCTTGCTTGAAGGCAACACTCCTTTCTCCTGAATTTTCCTCCATCACTTTGTTGCTATCAGTAGGGGATGATCATGTTCTTTGTAGAGGAGAGAAAATACAGTGGTGAAATCTGCTGATGTTTAGTGATTTTGATGCTGAACAGGAGCTTTGCAAATGGTCAAACAGGTGAAGATGCTGCTCATCCAGATAGCTGCTTGACTGCCAGCTGAATTCATCAGACACAAAAGCGAGCTATTTGTTTTGCTGCAACATGGAGAAAGTATCTAAGAACAATTACACCGATAGGCTGCAGACAAGAAAAGTGATCTGTTAGCAGTTATCAGGTGCCTTACTCAAACTTGTCATGGAGTCCATGAACTCTAAAAAGATGTCACATTCCAATTACTTTCCTTCATTGCCCTAGTACCATGTATGTCACTGTTACCTTCAGATTTAGGACTTGCAGTCTATCCAGTAGCCAAGAGGTAAGCACCCCTGTGTTATAACACTCTCTGGGTTCACCTGTGTATGCCATAAGGAGATCAGCAATTCCAGCTAAGCATTTTGTAACTGCAGTGTTAGAAATGCATTTCATACACCTTATGCAGTGGGGAGCAAAGAAGAGCAGTGCTGGAACCAAGACTAATTGTGAGGACTAGACTCAAATGCATCGCATTTTACTACCTGGGTGTACAATATACACCCAAGTTTAGCAGCTTTCTTCCAGAAGCCTTAAGGCATTTACTTCTTCCTCCCTCTGTTCTCACAGCTGATGGAAGATGTTCATTTGACAGTCATGAAGACTGAAGTCTCCCATTTATCCATGCAACAGATATAACAGAAACAGCAGTAGCATAAAGCTCTCTTACAATACCTGAGAGGCATCTCTCTCTACCAGGTAAAGACAGAAGAGGAGCTTCATGGTTATTCAGTTTTCTGCCTCTGAACCAAAGCCTAGGGGGTTAACGTAAACATTTTAAACTAAGATTTTGATTATTCTACTTGTTTTAATTTGTCATACTAACTTTCTGATTCTGATTTTAGTGGAACAGATGTTTTAATTACTGTATTGGGGGAGCAAAAGTACATCAAGGAGAAGAAAACTGTTTGGGTTAGACTACATTTTGTAAGATGCATGTGTTCAGTGTAACCCAAGAAAGATCTTTCAGAGTACTGTTTAAAGTGATCCATCTTACCTTTCTGTCTCTGGCTTTTGGAACAGTTTTTCCTGCATTAGACACAACCACAAAGCTCCCAGAAGCTCCCTTTCCTTTCACCTAGTTCAAAATAAAGTCAGCCTTTAACAAAGTAACTCAGGATAAAAACAATTTGAAAGAGATTAATCAACATCTTTACACAGATTTAGAATGCATTGCCATCCTGGTGATGGGCTGTTAGGGACAGAGGCCTGATTTGAATCCACTTCAGTAGATCAGAAACCAAAGGTAGATATTAGAAACACATTCTGCTGTCCTGACCAGGAGATCCTAACAGAACTGATATCACAGGCACATATTATAGTGTTATAGGAGACATAGTCCTGCAGAAGGGGTGTTGCTAGACTCAGGTTGAAGGTATATGAATCATAGAATGGCTCGGGTGGGAAGGGACATGCTGCTGCAATGGTGTATGACACAATTCAACACCATGAAATGGTCATCCATATTTCACAAAAGATAAGGTATTTGACTGACGGATCTGTCCGTGTCTAACAAAGCAGAGACAGAGGGAGAACACAGCCACCAGAGACCAGCTAACAGAGTTTCTTTAAGTGCTGTGTAATTCAGTAATACCACATCCACCACTGCTCCACAAAGCAACTCTTACCTGTCTAATGATCCCTCTCTCCAGCTCCCTTTTCAATGCTTGCTTTAGAAGATAGCCTCTCCTCTCAAGCTCCAGGGAAGGATATTTGTGGATGATGTATTTACGTATTGCAACAACCGAGGCACCACTCTTTTGAAAGCATGCCTGAAACGGTAGCAAGATGTTAGTAAAATGCTTCTGGACTGAACTACTTTGCTGTGGGACTGGAAGAACGCATGTGTCAACTAATCCCCTTTTCTGATGCACGTACAAGTAATGGCATATACACTACAAGCTCTTACAAAAACTTGTTACCTTTGGGCAAACCAGCACTGCCCGAACAGTAAGTCATCAGTAAGTCATTTTACTGATGTCAGATAGAGCAATCATTAACAGATTATCAGAACAAGCTGTTGATTTCTGAAAGAGACAGGATTGGCATTAGCAAGCTATTAAAAAAAGAAAAAAATGAAGTTCTTATTTTGAAGATTACCGTCTTTGAAGATTCATGACAGCCTGCCTGTATTACTGGAGTCCTCCAATTAGGAATCAGAATAGGACTACACCAAAACAATTATGTTTTAAAATTTAGGTATTTGACATGCTGTAGAAAACCCCAGCAGTGACTTGATAAAGCCCGCTTTGTTTAATCAAGTTACCAGATCTACATGGCTTCAGAAAGACTACCACAAAACCCACAGTTGCATGATAGAGGATGTAGTTTACTTACGCACTGTTGATCCTACTCTATCACCTAACCTTTTAAACAGCTGCCAGAAAGGTAAAGCTTAGAGTAACCTGAAGTTCATGGCATGACTTCTCTCTAACAGATTTGGATGCACAGCTGTATGTTTCAGTGGCTCAAAAGACCATCTTGCAGTTAAGGCTAATAGAGTCCAGGACTCCAGTGAAGGCAACCTGCATGAACCAAGCCTCAACAGGAGGGCGGCAGAGTTGCAGAGCAACAGCACTGGTCTCTTCTTATAACCTAAAGGAAGTATGCAGTAAACTAAGACCAACACCACTCCACAATGCTAGTTTACACTATTTCCATCTGTCCTGAATTAGGATAAGTTAACAAGAAAAAATGCATGTATCAAACAGGTGGGTTAATCAAGGTAAATCAAGTTAAATATGTCTAAAAGACAACAAATTAAATGATGCCAATAATTAACCAGGATGTGTCATCATAGCTGTTTCTAATAATTTAAACAGGGAGAAACATTCTGAACAAAAAATAAGCAAGACGGCCCCTCATCGTCATCATGGACTCACATTTCAGCTCCATGGGCTTCCAGACAGAAACGTGCATGCCTTACGTAAGTTTCCTGCTAAAAGGGCTATCACCTGTACCATTAGCAAGTTGAAAATATAGATTTTAGGCACAAAAATTACTCAGCTTTGTGACAGGTGAACAAAAGAAATATCTGATTCCTACTTACTTTGATGGCCTCAGTTAAAATAGCATCCATCTTGGGACGTGAAGTGGCAGCCATCTGAGTTTGCTTCTGTGCTCTAGCTAGCTGACTAGCAGAAAGAGTAGCCCATGCAGGAATGGTCTTTTTCACTTTCTTCTCCTTTTCCTTAGACTGATCCTTCTCACTTAGGAAAAACGCAAAACAACAGTAAGGCAAGAGACACTGTAAAACAAGCCAACATGCAGAACAACAACAAAAGACACCCAGAACACTTGTTACAGAAAATAATTTAAAAGAACTTTTTGATGTTTCTATTCAAAAAGATGCAACCCCCCCACCTCCCAACACACCCTATCTTGATACTTGTTCTCAAAACATGTTCTTGAACAGCTGCTACACATGATCAGTAGCTTCCTCTCCTGCAAAAAATGAGCAGCTTTTTCAGAGTTCTATTTTCCCTATGTCTCCCATAATCTTTTCTACCTATAGAACCTGTCTTTCTCCTACTCAAATTCCTAAATTCAGCACTAAGCAAGCCTTACTCCTTTTTGGTTTCTTCCGAGGACTTTGTTTCCCCCTTCCCTTCATTCTCAGGTTCCTTTGGCTGTTCTGCTTCACTGGATGCAGCAGGCAAGGTTTCGTTCTCTTGTTCTTCTCCAGCAGAAGCAGACTCCTCAGAGGTGGCTTCTGCATCTAAAAGACGTAAAAACACATCAGGTTACTGTCTAAAACTAGCCTGTATTCTTCAGGAAGCCAGAGGACAAAAAAAAAAAAAAAAAAAGAACACACCCCAGAAATGATTTCCCACCACTTTCTTTTCTCTAATTTAATAGATGATTTGAATGTAACTTAGAAAGTGAACAAAAGTACTGAAAGAAATTCAACAAGGTGCAATCAGCCATCAAATGCCAGAATAATTTCAAACAGCATCACCTAGCATTTTCACAATGAACTAATTCCCCCAGTCTTCTCTTAACTCCAGGAAGTTACTGTTGCAATCATCCCTCATCATAGATGCCTACAGGTGGGGAAGGGAAGAAGAGGAGGAATTCAGTATCACGAAGCGTAAAGATTTTCCCCTGGGTCAAGGTTTACATGTTTTATCCCAGAAAGATGCAAAACCGCACAATTTGACAAGAGATTGTGGTAGATAAATATAGGGAGCTTTGTCTATGACAAACATGTCTTTTAAACATTGCTGTTTCTGCACTACACACTGTGGCACCTGAACGATTTTAACTATTCGATCACATCTTTCCAGACTTGGAAAAACTTCAGGTTGCACATGCATTGGCAGTAACATTTGTCTATCAGCAGGATCAAATCCAGCCAGAAATCAACTTACTGAGTAAATCAATCAAGTATATTTAGCTGAGAGCAGGCCTTAAAGACTGGACTGCCTACTAGGTAACGTGCTTATACACTGCTACTATCCACTTTTTGAGTAAAGAGCAGTCTACAATGACTGCTCTATGCACTAGGCATGTTGTCTATCAATGAGAAGGAGCTTAAGCACTCCTGCTTCATTCCTGTGCATAGTTTCCCCATGGAGGCATCATATATGTAAAATAAAAACTGTACCAATAGTTAGTTTCCTATGTAATGTACTTATTTGTCCCACCAAAGAGGAGAAACTCAGTGAAACGTACTGAAAGTGATACTCAAACAACACATTCTGAGACACACAGGTGAAGCTGCTAAGACCAGACACATTAATGGCAGGCCATAGTACACAGCATGGTAAAATCTTTCTTTTCCTGAACAAAGAAAACAAATACTTTGGTTTTCCATCCATTTCCACCTTTTGATCCCAAACCATTTTCCTGCCACTACTGAAAGTTCATGATTTCTACCTTTAATCATAAGAATGTACAAGCTTGAAAGAGACAATGCTTAGTTATATTTTCATATTTGGAGTGACAGGGCTTTGACACAGAGTATGAAGGACAAAACAAATGGTTTCCCACTTGAAAAGACTACAACATGTAATTTCACACAAACCAGGAAAAGCCTGTGAAAAGAAGCTAAGCATTGGTAATATTTTAACCATGGCAGCAGGGATTTTCAGGAATTTCAGCATAAAAACCTACATTTGGATACATCAACACTATGTTTGGATATAACAGTCCACAACAGCATTACTACTGTACCTGCTTTGACCTCTTCACCACCTTCAGCAGGTTTGCTTTTGGGAGGAGTTTCTCGGGAAGAAGAATTTACCGAGCGACGGATCGGCATCGTTTCGTCTTCAACTTTCTATAAAAAGCATTTGTAAATCAGTACAGATACTGGAAAGCATCAGAAAGTTTTTGAAATGGGATTAAGGTAAATCAAAGCAGCATATGTAGAAATATTCTAGTTACATTCATGTTTTTCAGAATTTTAAAAGACAGTAAATATTCGATCTTTGAAGCATACCAGGAGAGGATAGTTTCACATTTTACACTTATAAAAGAAATAATTTCTTTCCAATTCCAAATTAAATGAGATGAACATTTGAGGATTCTGACCACTACAGCATCGCAGGGAAAGCAGGGAGGGGGAAGGAGAGTGCCTGTAGGGTTTATTAGACTCCCAATCGAGTTTCCTATGATCGAGGGGGAAAGAGTACCAAGAAACCTTCAGCAGGACTGGAAGTCAATCACTGATCCAAGGGCAAGCTTGGAGAATGGGCCAGCCCCTACCTCACTTAACTTGTCCGTGTGGATCAGCTGAGCTCCCGTTAAGAGTGGAAGCGCCTTATGATGCACGGGTTCAGCTTCAGACAGATCAGTCGCCATTTAAAATAATTTCTAGCCCCAAGTGCACGTAACACTGTGGAGCCCCAGGTTTTAACCCCAAGGACTTTTTCCTAATGGTTTTCACAGTGCAGTGAGGAGTCAACCTAAAGTACAGAAAAGATGTGGTGTGAAAATTAACAAAACAGAAACATCTACGTCCATGTATCTAACAAACTAAAAAGAAAAGAAGAATAAATGACTTACAGCTTATGGCTAACGTAACTGACAATCAACACCTGCATTCAACAAAGATGCTAAAACATGTATGCAAACTGGAGTACTATGGATGTAGCAGAAATGGCAAAGGTGTAAGCCAGACCTGCAGCCTGCTCCATTAAAACAGATCTGAAAGAATAAAGATGCTATTTAAATTAACAGGAAGCATTAGCAAAAAGCAGACATCGCACTGTGCATAAGGCAAAGTGTTGAGGTAACTAGTAGTAAGCTGTTCATTTCGGGGGAAAACCAGGAACTGACACTGATCCAGCTTCTATTTGCCTAAGGAATTAAACCATTTAACCTGTTAGGGAGAAAACACACGCTGGAGACCTGGACCATGCCCCTCCCAAATTAAACCCCATGCAATTTAAGGAAATAAACAAATCCTTGAAAAAGAAAATACCCATCAGAACAGCAGCCACCAGACCTTCCACAAAAATATAAAGCTTTACAAAACTCTCCTCCAAACGCATGCACAGTCACGGGTAGGTTGGGCTCACCAAGTCTCACCCCTCGCTACCATTTCACTTCAGCCTTCCTTACCTGCTGCCCGTCCACCTGCATTGGCCTCTCCTAAGGAGGTGCTCCAGCATTTCTGCCACAAACGGAGGCTTTACTTTCTCACTCGTTTCCTCTTCTCAGCATCCCCCTAACAACCTCAGAAGCAAAACCTCACTTCTCACAGAGCAGCGCTGCACCTGCTTCCCCACCCCATCAGCTCCAGCTCCCCTCTCCCCTTCCTTGCAGAGAAAGGGCCCAATGCTCCCGATTATTTCTCCTGATGTTTTCTTTTGCTCAGATAAGGCAGACACAAACCACGTTTTCACTTTTAACAGGTTGCTTCCCCAGCCTGAGAGACCTCCTCTTGAACGGAAAGCTAACAGCACCGCTTCTGACCTTGTTTTCAAGGTGTTTTTCACCACCACCTCAGCACTTCGTACAGCACTCTCCATTGCAGGGGTGAATGCTCCCTGCTACACCAATACCCCCTGAATTACTCCATATCCTTGCCCCACACCTTGACAGCAAGGACTCCCCAATGACCTCAGGGATTCTCTCCACTCAGCCGCAAGCCTCCTTCCCAAATAACAAATGGATAAATTAATGAGCCCACAGCCGCTGCGAGCAGGTACAGCGCCACGGTACCACATGCAGCGAGGGCAGGCCACACCGGCAGCACTTCCATGGGAGGACTCATTCCTCTCTGACACCAAAGGGTCTTTTTGAAAGCTGACAATAACCTCGTGCTGCCTTGGCACCAGTGAAAGCCAATGAGTGTAACAGTGCTGGGTGCTTCCTTTGGAGACAAAACAGAAACATCAAACCATGTTCTGAAGGGAAAATAAATTCCAGAGAGAAAATAAGTGGGATGAATGAAACTTGCTGATAAACCTTCAGGATGGGGGAAAAGAAGTAACAGCTGATTTGAACATACATGTGGCCCAGCACTTTTTTTTTTTTGCCTATTTTATGCAGTCTTCCTTTCTCATGGGCATGAAGCGAGAGGAAAAATGAAAAATTCCACCAGGTTTCAGGTCAGTGTCAATTGCTTTTTTTCTAGCAAGCAAAACCTGATGCTCTTAAAAAAAAAAAAAAAAAAAAAAAAGCTAGCATTTTGAAGTGAGTCCTAAAATAACAGATCTATACTCAGAGAAATCAGCTGGGAGCTACAGGAAACACTCCCTGGGATTACCATCGCACGCACACAAGCACGCACTGTGGCCAACCTGGTCATGGGTTTTATTTCTTTTCATTTTCAATTGGTGGCCTGCACGCCACACACATGAAAATAAAGAAGCCCCAACTTTGTCCTCCAATTCGCCAAGTCCTCAAAAAAAAATCCTTTGCTTTGACCACAGCACAAACCACCTGAGCCCCCCTGCTCTCAGGAGCAGCCGTTAACACAGCGCACTGTAGAGCTGCAGCACCCGCAGCACACCCGGCTGTGCCACTGCCCAGCAGAAATGCCCCCAACAGGGGCTTGTTGATTCCCTCTGCGTTCCCATGTGTGGGTCACGTCCTGCTCAAAGGGCTGCGGGAATCAAAGGGGCAGGGGGTAACCTCCCATTGCACCGAGGCTCTCAAAGGGGAAAGCCTGGAGCACCCACAGTCTTGTGAGACAATCACAGCTCAGGAACTGCTCTTGCTAAGCCAAATTCTTCCCACAGAGGGGTCAGAATGAAAAGTGATTTCTGAAGTAGGAAAAAAAAAAAAAGTTTCTGAACTGCATGTGAAATACCACAACATAACACAAAAAGGAATGAATTTGGTTTCTCAAAATGATAAAGCAAAAGGCAATAAAGTTTTGCAATAGCAACGCACAAAAAAGCCAGTTCCTCTCCTTCCCCTCTCTAAAGGAAACGGAGGATGTGTTTAACAGAAAAATGAAGCCACCCAAACCGACTGGTACCTGGATACCCTAGCTTCGTGCATGGGTGCTACAGCATCCTTAGATGTGTCCCATGGCCATGACTGCAAGAATTGCTCTTAAGGAGTTGGAAAGTGATAACCGTGTTTTTAATAACCGTGTTTTGTATGTACAGATGTCAACCACACAAACACCGTGCTCAGGAAGAGGCCATGAGTTGAGGATGCACATTCTGAAGGTGGTTGTTGGATAACTCACGTCAACTTAAACCTGGTTAGCTGTCAGGAGAAAATCATCAGCAATGAAAGGAACACCAGGATACTAACCATTACCAAAACTGTTTGAACATACACAGTAACTCTTCATGTTGCCACGCACGCTGGCCTTCCCACAGGCTATTTGAAGTGCCCCACAGATCAGATCGCAGGTTCCCATGCTATCATGAAGCAGCCATTTCAAAGCTGGTAACCCAGCTGGGAGCTAATAAGCAACAAAAAACCCTTTCTGGATTAGCAGAAATGCTCAACAGCATTCAGTCCCCCAGCTCAGTGAGAGGCCACTGGTGGAAAACCCAATCAAAGGTGCAGTAGCTTTCCATGAACTACTATGAAAAAACATACCTGCACTGATTTCCTCCTAATCTATCAGCAAACTGTTCAGAGGAGGAAAAAAAACACCAACAAAACAGAACACAACCACAAAACCAGAGGCTTCAGCTGAGACACATCTGTTCTGGATATTATTTCCAATGAGTGGAGTCCCCTCATCAAAGCAACGGGCACAGGAATTAAAAAAAAAAAAAAAAAAAAAAAAAAAAAGCTTATTTGAGGCCAGTTGACTCCTTGGATTTTTGTAAGACAAGGCCATAAGACTTTCCAGCTTATCTCAGACTCCAATCTCAAATATTTTGGGACAAAATCAGGCCTTGAGCATGACAAGCCAACTGTCGCACAGGAGGAAGCGCCAGGTCACGAGACTCCTGGCAGGGTACCCAGGCTGAGTGGTCTGAAAACAAATATGCAGTGGAGAAGTGAGAAAGTGTGTCCAGCGCCGCGCCGTACGGGTGTCCCCTTACTGTCACACAACACGCAACGGCCATGGAGGTGCTCTGAGACATGACTTGGTTTACCCTGCACAACACGGGTCCTGGAATTAGGTCAAAAAGAGCCAGAAAAAGTTCATATGTCCTTGCAGCCAGGCTGACAAGGGGTACAAAACCACCAACCTTACAAGCAGCACAAGCAAGGATGACTGTTTGTGATCAGAAAGGCTTCAAAAGCAACATGATCAATGACCTGTGTTTGAAATCCAGTTATCACGCGGTCATCTACTACTTTCTAATGCTGTTTTGAACAGCGGAGCATTTAAATGTCTCAGAAACCGCAGGAAAAACAGCACAGGGGGGACGTGTTAGCATTTCTGCAAAGCAAAAATGGAAATCCAGATCAAACATGCCAAAACGTTACCTCCTAAACTGCAAGCTGACCAGCTTGGACCTCTGAAATTCTCAAAGCTCCTTCCAAAAATTCAGCTCACATAGAGGACATCACGCCCCTCAATATCTACACTGCCACTGAATATATCATCCTGCAACATCTTTGACACTAATTTGTTTTACAAAACGGATCTATTAAAAGTTCTCAGCTGATCGCCTCTCTCAGCCTGCTTCACAAAGATGTTCCAGCATTTACTGATCTCCCTTTTGTTTTGCAGTTGACTGAGCAGCCTGTTGTCTTGATTAAATCAGACCAGTAGTATTAAGTCATTTAAAACAGCCCAAAAATGTGCAGAGAAATAAAATACCTTCCTGAGCCCAGAACACGAGTCAGTCCCCACTTCTAATCCTGATTTGGCAACCTGCTCGGAAATCCCCCCGTCTCCCACCGCCACGCACTCCCATCGCACCAGCCTTGCCCCAGCTGTCCTGACCCGGCAGCAGCCGCTGCTCCTTACAGCCACGCCGATTCCCTGGGAGGTGTCCCACTTACACAGACCTTGCAAGCCAGCTACGAGGACCGCATTTACAAGTCTCTTGTGGTTCAGCCTCCCTGAGATCTGTTACAGGCTATCTGAGCCCCATGCTGCTAGAAGCATGATGAACCATCTTGTTTCAATTAAAGAAGCACAGTGGTCCAATACAAAGATCCAATAGCTCACCACTTGGCAGGCAAGAAATTCTTTGGCTTGACTAGTATTACAGCTTCTATTTCCGTCGACTCCTTGCCTACACTCTGGTAAGGAAAGAAGCAACAAATCTCAAGCACGTTAGGCTTTGGGGGAACACAGAGAAAATCTTTTGCACTTCTAGCACTCAAATACACGCATTCCTACACAGAGACCTGAATGCCAGAGGATTTTTCTATGTCTAAATATGCATTCTCATTTCAGGGTAGCACTGAATTTGGACCTCTGACTCCAACCACCGCTAACAGAACCTGACTCACACCCTGCCTCTTCTGCTGAGTTTACACAGCAAAGCAAAGATTAAATACTGCCCTTCTGCACACACAGATGCTGCTTTCCCTGCAAAAAAGAGGCAGCGAGATTGATGCTGGGCTGACCCACCTGGGACTGAGCTCAGCGCCTTGTCTCTGCGAGGATACAAAACCAGCGACTCCAAGTCAGCTCAATCTCAACAAAATCCAAGGAAAGACCCATGCCTCACCCCTGCTATTCCTCGCCACCAAGAATGCCTGCTCACTATAAAAACAACTTTCAGATTCTTTCTCCATCAGTCTCTGACCCATACAGAAGACATGAACAGCAGATCACTTCCATGGCCAGGATTATCTTCTCTTCCCATACCCAGGAGTAATTGTTCATGTCAAAACACACATCCAGAGCCAGGTACTGTGCAGCTTTTATTATGTCACCACCATGCCTAGAAACTTTCAAAAACTTCAGCTAAGGGATTAATACAAAGCACAATTTCTGCTTGCATAGCTGTGTAAAAATAATCCCTCTCTGCGCTGATGCTCAGGATTGTGACAGCAACAACCTATGCGGGACAAAAGTTCCTGAACCATTCCGGATAGGACAGTCCATGATCTGGATTCTCCATGAACTGCTGTTGGGAGGCAGCTAAAGCACGAAGTGGCCTGCACCAGGGACACAAGGTTCAGCTTTCCATTTATAATAGGTCGAGGTCACAAACTTAAACTTACTCCAGCACAAAATCCACTGCTGAAAGTTTTACAGTCTTCGACGAAATACCTTAATTCCAGGATCCAGCACTGTGACCAGTGACAAACCACTGATACTTGAACAAACACTTAGGCTGCTAGTGTTACATACCAGGGCAAGACCCTTCCATGGGCAACACCCCCTGCACTGTAAATGTGACACCACCACATAAGCTCTCTTTCGAAACTATTACTTATTAAGCCATCACTTACTGGTCCATAGTACAAACACCATACATAACAAAAGCTGTGAATTGCTGGCACTCCACACAAAACCACTCGCACCTGCTGTTGGAGTTCATTAATGTAAAACTTTATTTCTCCTCTCTCAAGAAAGTTAAAACCCTCACAACAACCTCGGCCACTTGTAACAAAACGCTCACAGAAGGGACACATCAGTTTCCGCTGAAAGGAAAAACACCTGAGAAAGAGAGACTCTGGAGACAAAAATAATTCAAGCAGCTGCTACCCGAGAGAAGCACACGAAACACTGAAAAGTTAGTTTATTTGCAGGCACACTCGGTTAAAGGGGAGACAGGGCGCAGAAGCCAGTAGGTTTTCTCACAGCACATACACTAAGCTCACCCCCAGTACAAATGATGGGTATTTTCTCCCCCTGCCCACCCCTGACTTCCAAGCCCCCCCACTACCCCCCAGCCTCTTTAAATCCCTCCCGAGGCAGGCGAGTGCTCTCCTGCCCGGCTGGGCCCTCACACAGCCCGCACTCACCTGCACCCCTCTGCCCCCCACCCCCCACAGCCCCCACACAGTTTAACAGCACAGCCACTTCAGACCTCCGCAGTACAATCGCTGCTTGCCAAAGGCTGTTGGCCAAATATTTTTTTTTTAAAAAACGCTAAAAGTACTATTTATGGTAAAAATAAACAAAACAAAAACAAAAACCAAACCGCACGCCTGCAGCAG